ATATATATTATATATATATATATATATATATATATATATATATATTGTGAAGTGACGCAATAATAAGAGGGTGCATCATGGAACCCACACATTCGGTGACACAGACTTAGTGTCTTCACATTGGAAATCGTAACGCATTAATGGAACGTATCTTACCTTAGTAGTAGTATGACTCTGACTCCTCTTTTTCTCTTCATGGATGTTACTCCTCTCCACTATTGGCTCCTCGTTTGATTTTATTTTCCCTTATTGATATCATTTATTTGTAGCTATTTCTTTCGCATTAGCATTGTTTATCACAATGAGTGAAGTGTGTCGATACTGTGGGAGTTCGCAAGGTGAACTCATTCATCCGTGCAAGTGTGATGGTTCAATCGCAAGTGCGCATCCCCGATGCCTAGCGGAATGGGTTAGTAGTTCGGGTAGCTTCCGTTGTGAAATCTGTAGCCGATACTACAATGTTAGCAAAATTGTTCTAAACGACACATCGTATTTCGCAAACCTTTCTGATTTCTCTATCCTATGGAAAGCACTGGTAGCAAGAGTTGAAAAATCAGCTGAGACAATTCATGAATTTCTTTTCATGTACACCGTTTTTTGCGCAAATGGCATTGTATGTGTATTCCTCTATATCTTGCTTTTGGGGCAATTTTTGGACATTGGCACTGCAAAGTTACTTAGTGCAATGACTGAATTTGAAAACCGCACCACTCTTTTTGTCTTGCTCATGGTGAACTGCCTGCCCATTCAGCTTATTAGCCTTATTGTGATGACAGGCGTTCACGCTTGGCAAGAGTGGGTGTTCATCCACGAAGCCGAAGTATCACTTCCCCCTTTGCAGGAGCAAGGCGACGTGGCGCGTGAGACCCAGGGCCTAACAACAACCTCGCTCGATGAAGCGATGGGAGAGGAAGAAAACAAATACATTCCTATGGGTTTTCTAGCGCAGTACGATAAGGAGGATCGTCGTAACTTATGCACAGTGAAAGCAGATACGGCGCTGGAAGGTGAAGCCCTGTTGAAGTGCATCAAAAAGGTTCTAAACGATAACACGCCTGTTAGTTTTTTCGAACGCAAATTACCTCGCATAGCGATACATTATGGTAAGAGATTTTTTTACGCACATTTGTGGACCATATTGGTGCTACTATCCTTCAAAAAAATCAACGGGCTAGTGTTTTCGCTTAACCGAAAACTCTTCGATGTCCTTAGTCGAACTTCTCTTGGTTATCATATGGCCAGCGTTATCGCACACGCTGGCCTTGAGGATATCGCCTTTTCGTTACGGCACGCCCTTACTGTAATGCCATCACTTGATGACGCGTTTGACGTTAACATGAATTTTTTATTTTTTCTAAATTATCCTATCCTCTTCGGATCTGCCGTCTTGAAGCTCATGCCATCTAATCGATGGAAAAGAAACTGGGCTGTTATCTATGTCTTGATTAGAGGCCTGATTGTGGGGTTCAGTTTGGTTTTCTTAGGCTTTATGTTCATGAGAATCCCCGGGAGTCTTTTGGAGTCGAAATTTTATGTCAACAAAAACGCTATCACGGGACTGATGGACACGTCCACAGCCTGGCAAGTGTTGCAAAAAAATGGCCTTGCCCCGCTTGTGTGTAATTCCACAGAATCCAAAATGACCAATTCCTTTGTCGTTTTAAAGGCGCTATATACGGTATCTCACGACTTCATCCCTTTCAAGGCTGAAACTCTCAATACTGTCCAATCTGATGTTTGCTTGAACACTTTCGATGCTGCCAGCTGTGGCAGCTTCTTATTTCATGATCGGGGATACATCCATTACGCAGCTTACTCTGTGCGGGTGCTTTGGCGCATTCTAACGAATCGCGTCGTCGAAGAAGTCACCAATAACCTATTATTCTCTGTGATTCCTATATTAGCAGTTCTGAATTTAGATATCGTCAAGAATCGAACCAAGCTTGGTGGTTCTCTTTCGGAAGGTATCTTCTTTTTGCTTGCCCATCTCGATATCCGGACGGCTTTTCGCATTTTTTTCGAATTCTCAATGGTGCTGATGTTGGCCTTCACGGTTGTTAGCTGGGCCTCCTGGACCCTTCTCAAGTACCTGGATCCGGGATCGTTCCCGATCGTCATGGGATACTTTTCGCAAGATTTGTTTCTCATTATCAAGATCTGGTCCAAGTGCCCCAACGTTTTCCGTACATTAATGGTATGGAGCAAGCTTTCTGATTTTCTCCAGCGTGCGTATGGTGTGAGCGCTGCTGCGATGGACACCGATAGGCGGCTGACACTCAGTGATTTTGTTGCTTATGTGTCATACATCACAACATACTTTGCCGTCACTGTAGTTCTGACATCTCTTATACGGTATATTCAATTGTCATCAAACCTTTTATGGCTTTTCTACATTCCGTTGTTTGATTTATTTTTTACCTTATCTCAACTGTTGAACTGGAGACATGTGATTAAACTTTTGGTGGATCGTGCGAGAAGGCATGCATTTCTTTTTTTCTCTAAGCTTTGGCTACGTGGGCTCTATGGCCTGCAGGTGAGGGTTGATGGCGACTTTCTGGTGCTTAAAAGGTCGATTTCGGTGCCATCTGTATTTAAGCCACAGATTATTGAGACGCAGCAGCAGAAACTCATTGCGCTATACGAAGACCATCCACATACTTCGAGTCGTATCTTCTGGAAGATACTTTTGGATGGCCGAGAGGTGTCTCTCCATTACAGCAGAATCCACGAGCACGGGCCTCTATTCTATCATGGCTTCTCAGCGAAGCGGCTAAGGGTCATGTACGGCAGTTGCGTTCTCCATTTTATTTTCTGGTTCGTGGTACCTTTTATTGCCGGAAGGGGCCTTTACTTTGAGACTTTGGCCATATTTATCCGAATTCATCCGTCCGTGTGCTTTTTGGTCCCTTGGTTGTACAACTGCCTCTGCACCTGGTTGATGGGTGTGCTACTACTCCTGATATGGTTCATAATCGAAGGAGGAATCATGGAGTCCCCTTTTGTAAATCATTTAGTGGATTTCCTCCCACACTGTCTTTTCTACTGGCATGTAGACACGGTGCACTATATTGCGATCCCAATTCTCATTCGGTGTATCTCTATAAACCTCGGTATGCACATCTGCCACGCAAGTTCAGTTTCCACTTCAAAGACGGGTTCAGGCTTCGTCTTTGCGTCTTTCACGCCGCTTATTACAGTTTGGGTGATGATGCAGGTAATTCGGATCAAGCGAATATGGGGACGCCGACGGGATCAAGCCGATGCTGCACCCAACGGGAATCTGCAAACACTGACGATCCAGGAGAGGGGTTTCGTAAGGCCTTCGCCTGTTGTACTGAACACTTTCGAAGCTCTCATCAATCAAGGAGTTGAAGAGGTGCTTCCAGATGGGGTTGAGGCTGCTGTGCCTTCATCTTCGTCTCCTACTAGCATTGGGGAAAGATTTCGGCACTTCTTTATCGATGGAATAATGTTGGTCATGAGAAAGGTGGGTACGTATCTCCGTGCTAGTTGGGTGGAGCTAGTTAATAGGTCCCGATTATATCTTTACACTGCCCGCAATGAGGGTGATACCATAGGGGTGGTTTTCCAGGACTACGAGGATACCTCCTGATGCACATTAAGTTCATAAGGAAGATAGAGTGGTATCCTTGTTATAATTCTACTCCTACTGCTTCTAAATCCTAAGATTTGATATATATATATATATATATATACATATCCATATTACTACTTTCTTCGATATTGTGTGAATTTGCTGGACTCATTTTTTTTGTGTGAGACTTTCTTAGATAGCATTATGTTGAATGTCAATTGAATTTGCCACATCCAATCAATACCATAGCTTACCTCTTGCATTATTTTTCTTTTGATGATTCATTTGTGTGAATGTTAACGGGCCGAAGTACACACACACACACCACGAAATTAAAATGCTCAACGACAGTTTAGATGAATTGGTTGATAAGCTACGGTACCTGACTGGTCAGGCCGCGCCCACCGCCAAGCCGGCCCCATCCTTGGGCCGAAGAATTAGCGAGGAGTGCGCGCTGGTCCTGCAGCAGGCTCTGCGACGGCACCCCGCACTGAGTCTGCTCCCGCTGAGCCGGAAGGGCCTCATGGAGACGCTGCTTCGTGAGGTAAGGGAATCCAGCGAGGTGGCACCCTCCCCCTCCTCGGAGGTCGCCCAGCTGCTGGGATGGGTGAACCAGGCCGCGGAGGAGCTGGAGGTAGAGCGGCTGGGTGCGGTCTTCGCGTCGCCCGCGGTGGCCTACGAGACCTTCACCCAGCGAACCCTGGATGCTCTGGGGTTGTCCGAGGCACCCCTCATCGAGCAAACCGTGGAGTCGCTGCCATGCCCTTGGAATGTCCTTTTCACACTCCTCTCCGGGCCCGTCTTCGATGTGGACTTTTCGTCGTTAAAGCGCGCCGAGTTGCGCGTTGAGAAGGCCACCTCCAGTCTTATACAGGGATTGCAACGTGTGCACAGCGATGTGTACGATACCGCCGCGTGGCAAAACCTCATCGGCAGCATGGAACCCTTCCCCATCGCGGCGGTGCGCGGTGTGTGGCATGCGATGCTGTATTTCTACCCCACCAGCGGCGCCACCGTCTGCCGGTACCTCCAGAAGGAGTTAGCGGAGCTGCGGGCAACATGGACCCCCATCAACAAATGCAGTGAGGAGGTCGACGCGAAGCACGTGGTAAGCGATTGTCTGCGAATTCTAAACACGTTTTTCCGCCATTTGCCCCTCACGTTTAGCTGTGATCTCTATATTATGTTCTTCGATTTCATCACAGAATATGTGCAGCCGGATAACATGACGATGGACACGATTTTCCGAGTGTGTCTCCGGCGCGACGTCGGGGAGTTGCCGCAGAGCATGCCGCTGTGGATGCGGTACTTAAGTTGGCGATCTACCACGCTTACCGGCGCGGTGAGGCGGCGAGAGTGGGTACGGAAAATCTACACCCGGATCTTGCGGACGCCTCTATTGGATCTGGACAGCGCGAAGGAACATTTCGAGGCATTCGTCTTGGCTGACCTCCACGGACGTCTCCCAGCAGATGAAAGAACAAACATTGAGAGGCGCTTTACCCGAGCTAAAGCCGAGGCTCTTGAGATCGAGGAGCTGCTGAAAGGTCTGCATGACTACCTGCCCCGCCCATTACAGCTGTACGAATCCAGCCGCAGCCTCAGCATCGGGTTGAGTCGGGAGTTGGAGGCGTGGTCGTGTTGGCACGCGTTGCTGGGAAAAACGAAGCGCCGCGCAACTCAGGATCAGAGTTCAGACCCGCTTTACTACCTTCGACGGCGGAACTTTCTACGGATGCGAGCCTGCTGTTTCCCGCATCAGGTGGATAGCTGGGTCGAGCTGATTTACTTTTGTGTCCACGAGGAGCACGTCCTGTCCGAGAAGGAAAGGACTTCCCACGCTGAGGATGCTGTGGAGCTCGCACGGCAGTTTCTGCCCCACTCGACGCTCATGAATCTTTTAGTAGCAGACATCACCGCGACTCACTTCGGTGATTGCGCTGGATCCTTTCGTTGTCTCCGAGACGCTTTAGTGTACTCAAAGTCTCTTTTAATGGGTGTTATCAAGAACCCCAGCGGAGACGTACCGTCGTCGGACCCTAGTTACGGGAGTCCAACGCACGCCCTTCGGCTCCTACAGGACATCACCATTGTTTCCGTAAACTGGATGCGGATGGGATGCTATCAAGCGGACCGCTTTCATATTTCGCTGGTAGCTCGTCACATGATGCACACCATAGATTTTCTCTCGCTAACCATGGCTTGCATACGGAAGTTCATGAAGTCCGGTGAACTGCACGAGCCCACGGCCTTCTTGCAACCCTTTAATGTGTTCTGTTTCCACTGGATTCAATTAGAGGTAATTCGGAATAAAGCCCTGGAAATTGGACTGGGTGTGTTGAAGCAGTGGAAGGAGCACCTCAAGATGATGATTACGTCTTCTCGCGGAAAGCAGTGGAACTTGAATACGTGCGGAGTCAACGACCTTTTCATAGAAGCCTGTCTACTGCTTCTTCGCGCCGATGCATCCTCCTCCGCGATCGTGTTCGGCATCCTCAAGGAGCTTGAAGGGGCCGTCGAAGCGGCAGATATCGCAGACGGCACGCTCCACTACCTCGTCGCGCAGCTACGTCATCGGTGCTTTAGCTTACAAAACGGTGAGGATTACTCCTGGGGGGATGACCAGCTTCACCTGAAGCTCCTACGACCTAAAGCGGCCCCGCATCGATACGATACGGCGCAATTCTGCAGTTCACTGCTCCGTCAAGCGGAGCTGCAGGAGGTGCGCGAGATGGCGAGGCTAGAGATCGCCAAATCGCTACCCAACGTCGCCGACGGCAAGGATGGCTCCGCGCTTGTCTACCCCGAAGAGGGGGCGTGGCTGCCCACAGATGCGATCGAAAGTGACACCTGGAGAGCACAACCCTCGCTCAAGCAGCTGCGCAGCGAGGAATCGGGCGCGCCTGTGACCACCGACGCGCCTCTTTCCCCGCTGAAGCCTCAGAGGCAGGAATCCGCATTCCACAAAACTTCTCGTGGAATTCTTTCCCTGTCAACGACACTGCCAAGCCTCGAGGAGTGTCTTTCACGGAACAAACCAGTGCCGCCGGTTGATAAGCTCGATGCCCTTATTAGGGCTCTGCCCACACTTACACAGTATAACCCTGAGATAGAGGAGCAGGACGCAAAGCCCCCGGCGATCTCGGTCGATTGGATCCTCGACACGCTCGCCGCTTGTGCGGCAATTCAAAAGCACAACGATAGCTAACGTGGTGGAAGTAGGAAGAAGAGGGGGGGAGGGAGTGAGGTAATCTATTTGATACGCGGCGCAAGCCGCTCTGACTTTCAATTATTGTCGTGTTAAACTACCTATCTTCATCGCCACTAATATTGTCATTGCGTTTTCACTATTCCAACTCTAATGTCCTTGTTTCTTCTACACCGGTTAGTTATATCTCCACAACCTTTTTCTTTCCCCTTGAGATCCCTGATATCGTTTTTACCCAATTATCCATTTTGTTTCGCCTCGAAAGGAGTTGACATGCAATATATTTACAGAGAATATCATAGCGAAGGAGTTGGTTTCAGTAACTTTTTACCCATTGGAGAAGATATAAGTATTTCACGTAATATTGGTACGTACGCTCGTTAGTTTCTTCACAGACATCGTGTCGTGTGTGCACCAAGCATGACTTTTCACGATTTAGAAAGCGAGCGGTGTTTCATAACCGGTGTTTCCTTTCCACAATTGGTGAGTGAATATTCGGATGATGATGACAGCAAAATCACCGGTGCCGTCTGTGAGTTAGCTCCTTTAACCCCGTTCAAGGTACCGCCAGCCCCACGGCTGATTAAGCGGAAGTTTCCCCCCTCGCTTCTGTCCGGTGAATCAAACGGGCGGCGCATTCTGTCGATATGGGAGAGGAAGAGCATCCTCGACCGCTTGAAGCGTTGTGAGCATTTGGATGAGGAGGCCTTCCAGAGGAATCTTGCCGGTGCCATGCAGCGAAACACCGATCAACACATCCGGAGGGTGCGAGATAAGGCCCATCGATGTCTGGAAGAGGCCCAGGGAATTCTAGAGACTACTTTCGTCCGCGAGCAAAAACGCCGTGATATGATTTTCTACAAATACAAACACCTTTTAGAGCTGCGTAATATTGAGAAGTGGATGAGTCGTGCCCGGTCGTGGCAGTGCATCATCGTATGCCACATGTTCCTTACTTCTCTTATCCAGGAGCGCCGAGCGCAGGAGTCGATGGACACCCTAACGCGTCTCTTTGCACCCATGATCAAGCGCTACATCGTCCTCAAGCGCAAGCATCGTGAAATTGAAAACATTTTGGTAAATAACCTTAGTAACATTCCTTTCCCGACGCCAGAATTGATACAGAAGATGTCGGGGACCTTCTTTGACGGATGGCCTCCTCACCTCCTAGAAAAGTTAGTCAGCAAGGCGACCCCAATGTATCTCAAAAAGGGCTCATACCTACTACACGAAGGAGATATTGGTCGTTCCATGTTCATGATCACGATAGGAATAGTGTCTATCATTCTGCCTAAGAGGGGAAAGTCAAAGCGCAGATCCAAGGATAACTCTAGCGGTATTTTTCAGATAAAAGCACCATGCTATGTTGGGGAGTTTGCGCTAGTTTGCAAAGAGCCCCGGTCTGCGACCATTTATTGTGAGACCGACATCGGCTTCTGGACCGTCCTGATGGAGGACTACGAGGCGGTGAGGCAGCACCTGACGCCAGAGGTCGCGAGCAAGCAGAAGCAAGCCACGAATCTTCGCCGCCAGCAGAACCTGAAGAGATTCTTTCCGCTCAAGGTGGACTTTCTGCGTCAATTGCCTTTTTTTGAACTATTTAGCGATGCGAGTCTTAAGAGAATAGCAGATAGCGTGGAGCCAATTGTGCTGCACGACCGCGACTACCTGTACCGCTGCGGGGATATCGATTCCTCGATGTATTTCATCGGTGACGGAATTGCCACGCTGCGGGAAAGTAATGGCGAGGAGAAGCAGCTCACCGCGGGAAGCTGCATTGGCATTTTCGAGTGCTCTTGTGATATCAATGAACGCAAACCCAACTCCATTGTTAGTATTAACTACTGCGATGTGTGGCGGCTGAGAAGGGAAGCGTTGATTGACATTGGGATGTCTGAACCCGCCGCACTTCTCCACTGCCGGCGAGCCGCAAGGGCAGATCGCACGTTGCGCATCAAAAAAGACCCCAAAACCCCGGTGTATATCAAATCCGACCCGTACTTGGCATTTTGTCTGAATAGCACAACAATGAATCGCTTTTATGAACTGTGCACTCCTTGCATCTATCTAAATGGCGAGCGGATAGTGATCGCAGGTCGGCCTGCTAATGCACTTATTGTTCTATTGAGCGGCGCCGTCGACATTACGCTCAGATCCGGCGCTTCCCAGGAAACGTTTCGAGCGAACATTCCTTCCTCTCTATCCATTTCCCCCACCCCCAAAGCGTCGGAGGAAAGCTGGGGACTAAACTCGGACGAACTGCGAGCCTTCACGCGTGTGCTGGGGGCCTATGAGTTTGCAGCCTCGATATCGCAATATGTATACACCGTTAAGAGTTTTGGCCTGACAGAAGCCTATTGCGTCGACAAGGCGAAGTTCGAGGTACTCATCCCCGATACCTTGAGGCTCTTACTGTACAATAGCCTCAAAAGCAGAGATATCGTGCTTCAATCATTTAAGACAAAGAATCTTGCTTTGTTGTCCGACAACCAATCCATTAGTTTTACGAGATTGTACAAGACAGCGAGGGAGGCAGACAAGAAGAAAGATCCGAGCTAGACGCGTTTTGCGTTTGATGTAGCACCGACCTTGCCTCTTGGGGGACCCATGCTAATGCAGAGAAAGCCGATCGCTTCGCTCGGGGCGTACCCAGAAAGATACATGTTACGTTTTCCGGAGCTTCTACTGTCGACGTTGAGGGCATGCAAACGCGTGGGATCGTTATTATATCGTTATTCCGTATTAATGGACAAAGTACTCTCCCAATTTCTTTTTCATTTTAGCTACGCTGAATTCCATCGAAGTTATCCACCTCCAGTGATTTCGGAAACCAAAATCACTGAAGTAAACATATATGGCATATTCATTCCATTTGAAATTTGCTTTTGCTCGAGAATCCACTGGGTATCCGAAAAGCAAGAGGATCCAATAGTATTGTATAAATACGCACATCATGTGCACTCAGATTTAAATTTATATATGTAGATACCGTTTGTACAGAACTTGATCGGCTGCTGCCGTTTGAGACACAATGTCACGCATCCGATTTCTACACCAACAACGGGAGTCTAGTTCCTCGATTACTGCAGTTTCTTGTGGCGTTCTTTGTTGTGGGATTTTTCTTACCTTCATCTACTTCCCTCCTTTTCTCCTTACTCAGCGTGTAGCGACAAATATGAACTTAGTAGATTATCCTGACATAGTCGAGGATGTTCAGCCCCGAAAGCGACAGGTCTCCATCAGCTCTGTGGATTCTGAACCCATCAAGGCCTGCAAGCGAAAGGGTACCGAGACTCCGTCCGTCGCCGAAAGCGAGGAGGGAAAGAGAGATTTACCACGGGTAGGCACACGGCTGCCCGTTGAGGCAGATATTGAAATAAGTTGTGAGGAATCCAGCGTGCCTATTGAGCGTGTTTCAGAGGCACCTGTTGCGGTTGTTTACTCCGTACCGCAATCGAACTGCGTGTGCGTGGCTCAGCGCATCGAGGAAGCCCTTGTCATGGATGTAGGGACACGCTTCTGCCTCGCCGATGGAACCCTGGTCGGCGTGCTTACGTCTGTAATGGGGCCCGTTTCCAGCACGTTCTACCAGGTTACCTCAACGGTGCATCAATTCTCGCAGCTGAAAGAGCATCCAAAGGGGCTAACTGAGGGCATTCCGCTGCATTGTGATGTGGCACACCGGCACGTTATTTTTGACCTCCTCGCACAGTGCGATATTGCGCGAGGAACGGATGCCAGCTACATCGATGACGAGGAGCTTCCTGCCCATGTGCGACCCGACTTTTCTGACGATGAAAAGGAGAAGTCTTGGAAGCGACAGCATCGAGCGGGCTCAGCTGTGGGGGCTGAAAGCTCCTGCTCTAGCAGCGCATACGAAGACATGCCGTGCCCACAATTGGAGCATGGTGGCGTGCTCTCCACTTCCGCGTCGCGACCCCTTGCCCGGTCCGGGGATCAACTCGTGGTACCCGCCTGGCTTAGGTGAATCAGCGCACCAGTGGTGGGTTACGCAAGCCATATCGTCTTAAACGTTTGCGCCATAAGGCGCGCCCGCAACCGGCCCCTGTGACCAGAATTAAATAACAGTAATAAGAAATATTTGCAATAGCATTATGCAACCCTTGTGTGACACGAGGGTGTGGGATGCCAGAGAACGGGAGTCTCTCCGCACGTTTTAGGGCCACTCGGCTAGCCCTTTCCCTACCAAAGACAGGAAATTTTTGGAGCAGACCTATTGGACCTGTTTGTAGAGGGAAGAAACACATACACGTCCATCCCCTTTCATCTGCCAACAGGGGCGGTCCTTTTAAAAGGAAGAAAAATGAGAGAGAAAAATGGGGAACAGTGTTTGCATAAAAAGAGAAGCAGGGATTACATCGTTGCACATCGAATAGCCTAATTTATCCACCATTAGAGAGGGCGGTGTGTCCCTAGAATTCAATATTCACCATAAGAATCAACGTGCCATTTAAAACATATCTTTAGCACAGCGGTAATGATGTTGCGCCTTTGTTCGATCTACCGTTGCGAAAAGAGAAGCGATTCATTTACATACCGAGAAAAGCAAAATACATGTTACGAAATCCTTTCCCCGTAAAAAAAGGAATAAAAATAACTTTTTCATACATAATCAGCACAATTTATATGCAGTTGCTACGCTAAAGGTTTAGTCTCAAAATCTATTATCAAGTGCGCTGCCTTCGCCTCAAGCGACATTGTCCATATTCAAGGTTGGCTTTCCATTACTCGTTCATGCGCGCGCGAATATCATTCGAGTAACATCCTTGCCTTCCTCGGTTACCATCGTGTGAACACCACGCATCGCGAATCCTTCCTCTTCCAACGACTCCATTATAGTGAGGAAGAACATGGAGCGACCGTTTTGACAGCAATAATGCTGACCCAATTCAATCTTCCAACTCGAGTAACTGTTCGCATCTGGTGTGGCATTTTCGGTGTTCCCTTCCGTGTTATCTTTAGAGGTCAATAAGAAGCAAGGCTCAGTCTTTCGTTGTGTCGGCATGCTTGTGGTTGTATGCTTTGGCAGTGATTTTTGCAACGCGTCGATAGTGTCCTGCCGGAGACTCGCACCGTTCACAGTAATGACGGGGGGATTGAAAGTGCAAGTAACCACAACGTTCGGCATTGTCGGATTAGTGAAATGGTATTTTTTTATTTATTATGGATTTCTTGGGCTAATAAGTTTAATGTCGTTGTATTCTTTTGCAATGCGTATTCAAAGGTATAAAAAAAGAGTAGAGAAAGAGGCGTTATACTTCGAATCGGCTCTTGGAAATACACATACTTAGCTTGGTTCACCTCTTGCAATTCTGGTCAGGCAATCCAATAAATTCTCCTCAACCTCCTAAAAAAGCATCCCAGTATAGATAAACGTGCAAACGACGGAAATAAAATTATGTTCCATTTCCTATCGGCTTCGTAGCCTTCCCCCCCTCCCTTCTAAGTTCTTCATTTTTTCTCGTTCTTTAGCATCACTTTAGAGGGTTGGCATCGTCAGCTGCCAGGCGTTTTGGGGTCCAGTACGCGTTGTATTTTTTTTGTGCCTCGCTAAACTGGAAGGGTGGGCGATAGTCAGCCCACTGTTTGTACCGCAGCACGACCTCACCCCACGTTAAAGCGCATCGTTCCTCCACAGATTCGTCAGCCTTGAGGGCCTTGGCGACGCAGATGCGATGCGCAAGCTGTGCGTTCTCCAGGTGTTTTTGCAGGGCCTCACTGGGGGGCATAGAGCGGATAGCCTCATTCGAAAGGTCATGGAAGGTAAACTGCTGAGGCATTTTTATGGAGCCGATAATATTTCAACGTCGATAGAATATGCTAATTTGGGCTTTCTGGGACTATGTTTAGATAAAATGTAATACTAGTGGTCTACTAATACTAAAGGAAAAACGAAATAGATCCTGTTGGCGGGGTAAACAAATAGGGTATTTAGAGCGGGCCGTGTCAGTCTGTTCAACTATCGCAGGTGGAAAACAAAGAAAAAGAGAAATTAATTCCATTCAACGAGTTCATGAAAAGCAAAAGCAAAGATTCAAAACAGCATAAATCAGAAGAGCCCCTGCACTAGCAGGGATTTATAGTATCCATTTCCAATGTAATAGAAACAGGATGTCGAAAAAGAGTAAAAAGGGATCTGTGATAGTAAAACGCTCCTTGCAGCAAAAAAAAACATATGTACACGTAATCATTTGAATCTCAGTTAGTGCGGAGGCAAATTCTGTCCTTCGCTTACTTTGTGTACCACTTTCCTTCATCATTTGCATATCTCATTGAACTGCGCAATCCTCCGAGTTTTCACGTCCAAGACCTTTCGCGGAGCTTGAAACGTGCTCCTTGCACTTTTCAACCTCTGAGGTTGATCCTAACTTGATCTCCTGATGCCTTGTTGTGTCAGTAGGGGATGGATTAGGCTGACTGTACTCCGCGAAGAGCTGAGCTGCGGTTCGTACCAACGCTGTCTCGCAGTATTCGATCTCTTCACGCAGCGACAACATCAGCTCGTGGTCTTCGATCTGATGACCTCGCGCCAGAATATCTCCCACAGGCTCCGTGTTGCCCCGCATGGCAGCTCGCAGGCAGCGCATTGTGCACTCGCGCCGCGTGCGTGGGCAGTCACCACCGTCGTGTGGTGTGTTGCGGCAATGGTCGACCGCGTTGCATACCTTCACCAGATATTCCATGCCACTCAGGCACTGGCAGATGAGTTCGTGCGTTGTCGGAGAAATTCCGCTGTGGGACGGAGAGGCACCACCAGAGCTCCGCTGAAGTGCCTCTTCGTACGCTTTGACTCTTCCCTCCAGCCCGCACACATGCAACTCCAGCTCGCTTATTCGCCGCTCTTTCGCCTCTAATTGGTTGTTGTGGCTTGGCAGCGCGCTCTTGATCACATTAGCTGGCGATGTGTACAGTGAGCTCACCTTTTCATTCTGGTGAGCCGATGCCGTACTTTCTGGGTAATCTGCGGCATGCTTCAGACGCGTTAAGTGATCAGCCTGCAACCGCTCAGTCAGCAAAGACTCTCGGAGGGCATGCGCCTTCAACTGGTCACGCAGTCGGGCGTTCTCTATACTGTAGCGTGCGGCCAGGTTACGAGCGCGACGCAGCTCCTCTAAATCACAGCGTGCGTTGCGGCCCTCCGGCGCGACTATGCCCGAGTACCCCGCTATCTTCTCGTAATCTGAGAGCAAGGTTGAGCAGGTTGACGGTCCTCCTCCTCCATCCCCTGCGCGAATCGAGGACAGCACAGTATCCGAAAGGCCACCACTGCGCGGGACATAGAAACGTTGCAGTTTCTCCCGGTGCATCTTCATGTCAGAAGCACCGGGACTCTCGGAAGAGGAGGAGAGCATTGCAAAAACTCAAAGACAATATCACCAATTATCCTTTCCCACCTCTAAGGAAATTTTTTCAACTCACTATAAAATAAACGAGGCTTCTCTTTGTTTATAATGTTGCTTCACTAAGATGGCATTAGACAAACCCTTACCGCGTCTATTCAAACGTGACACTCATAGAGTTTTTAAACACCGAAAGAAATAGGTAAGCAAACTGACATAATTGTGGAACTGCGATATACAGATCAAAAGGAAAGCCCATTTACGCAAATGAAGGAAAAAGTCATAGGAAAAAAAATAGACATACCTATTTTTAAAATTGAGAAATACAACCTACTATATAGCAAGCATTTGTATACATGCTATATGGAGAGGTTAGAAAAAATCCTTGTTTGCTGATATTTTTTCTTACTAAAACAAGATACAATCCACCATGATTCATATTCTCCCTTTCCGTTCAGGTCCATCCGCCTTTATGCAGGAACATCAACGGCAAAGGAGGGTGGATGAAATGAAAACTATAGTCCCCCCAGTTGGGACGCCCCATGCGTAGTTCCAAAGAAAGAAAACCAACAAGGGACCATTATCGGAACAAAAGCGCACTCACATTCACCATTGATCTGGGGAAAAGTTAAGCGAGTGGCCTGGTTTGGAGCAAAAGTGCGTCGAAAACTCACTGAAATGTGAAGCAACGTGTGTCCACTTCCCACCAGTGACGGTTGCCCGGTTAGTGGTCTATATTGGTGTGCACAAGTGTGCCCCTGAAAGGGGTCTGTACATGGGTGCATGCGCACGTGTCGATGGTCCAATTTACTCATGTTTTTGCTCCGCGATGCCCCCAGACGAGGGCTCGTGCTCGCTGCATATCGAGGTCGTTGGCATCGTGCTTGTTCCCAATGTTTTAAGGGTGGAAATAAGGAGCCTTGCTCCACTTCCGCTGCCCCAACAGCTAGTGAAACTGTCTGGGCTGGAGGTAGGATTTGTACGAAGACTGGTGCATCCACCCGAAGCATCAGTAGTCGCTCTGGCAATATTATCGCTTTCCTGCTTCTTGGTGGCCCTCTGACGAGTGTCAAGGGTGCTTGGTAGAAGGCCATGATCGCTCCAGCCAGATTCAGTCGACGGTAATCGAAGGAACGGTATGCTATCTGTATCGTGTGAGCAATAATCCGATGGAAGCGCACTTGACGGACGTTCTTTGATGTATGTCTGCAGATATTGATTCCATGAGGTGTCATCATCCATTGCACGTGCTTCATCACTCGCCTTCTGAAGCCGCCGACGCGCTAATTCGCTGAGAACCGGCTCAAACTCACGCATCGTTTCGGGGCACACAACCTTGCTCAAGTCTAAAAGACAGAGGTTAATGGTGGCGTGCAAAGGGACGTGAGCGAAGACCTTGTAAATACGGCGCATTTCCTCGTCTTGCACAAAGGATGTGATTTCATCAACGGGCCCCGAGACACTCTCAGGCAGTGGCGCATTCCGAAGCTTCGCGTCGTGTCTTAACATCTTCATCGTGATCATATGCAGATAGTACGGCTGCCCATCAGACTCCGCATACAGCTCAAACACCTTATGGTCATTCTCTTTCGGTCGACTGAGGGGGGTGTTGCCGGATCCGTAGGGACGTGGTGCCATGGGTGGCGACTCCCGCGCCAGCGATGGCGACAGCCCTTTCTGCTGCTTCATGGTCTCATCGAGGGCTCCAATGAGGAAGCGCATCGTGGTTGCGTCGGATTCGGTTAACGGGTGCGTCAATATCTTATCCATTTCCTTGAGGCGATCGGAAATCTCGATCCCATCCATTGAGCGTTGCCTGGACTCATAGTCGTGTGTGGCGAGCACGTATCGACACTGCGAGCTGTACGGCGCGATATAGTTCGGTAGCCCCAATTCATCTTGAGTCACATTAGTCCTATTGGCATCCCTGTTTTCGGTCTGGACGAGACCGCTCGACATCATACGAGGGTCATCATAACGATGAAGCGTACATTCATAACGCTCCCTTCGAAAGAGATCAAACCGGACGATGTTGCCAACTTTCACTGGGCAAATGACCTGCAACACGCAAGGCCTCAGTGTGAAGCCGGCAACTGCGCTATTACATATGGGGCACAGCCTCTGGTGATTGCTCGCCTTCCGCAAACTGAGGTATTGCATAATACACGGCAAGCAGAACAGATGGCCGCACTCCGTGATTCGTGGGGCGACAGGGGTACTCATACAAATAGGGCATTCGAAATCATCGGGTGTCGTGCGCATCACTACGGAATGCACCGCTTCCCATGGGACGAGGTTGTCGTAGGAATGGAGGCACTCGATAAGTTTCCGCTGTCCCTGTGGAAGCGCCTGATCCGCTGTCACACACAGCAGGTCTGCGCGCAAAATGAACTGAAAGTTTTGGAGCATGAAGGCGCGCCGTAGAAGAAAGGTGTCGACTTGGCGCCGCACCTGGCGGCGCACAGGGAGGCGTTGGTTACGCGATACAGCAGACTGTTGTGTAGCATACTCATTAGAGCCCCAAAAATCGCTAATCGCAATTCGATTGCCTTGCCGATTGCGATTCTTTGGCATTCTGCACTCAATTTTGACTTCTGCAATGATACCGTAGATTAATCAATCTACCTATATGTTATATATGTACAGATATGCGAGCCTAACTCGTGAGCAATTCCTATGGGGAAGGTGTGTTAACACAAAAACTAGCTTAGTACTTCTAGGAAATATATCTATGTAAATAGCTCAACTCTTTCGTGTCTGAGCAACAAAATCTATATTCCTCTAAATTCAATAATTTACTTACACGTAATAGGAAATAGCCACTGAGGCTAGTTGGGTAGATCTTAACGTATTCTGTTGTGCTTGAAATATGCCTTGTGAAATACACCTTCAAATAATCACACTTTATTGTGTTAGCTTTACTCTTTTTCGCACATAAAAAAAAGTATCTATGCAGCTTTTCATCAATTTGGGGATCGAAAAATACGGGAAAAAGGTTGAGAAAGGTTGTTCGTTTTTCATTTCAGAAGCTCCATAAGTGAAGAGGATCAGAGTTTCCGCTTTCATTTTAAACTGAAGACCACAATGAAACATGTCGTATTAACAAACGGAATCGTATGAAGTGGCAATATCAGGAATGTCATCTCGACAGGAATAAGACTTCGTCAACTTAGATAACTGCTAGAATACTTTTTATTCCGGCAGATCGGGTTGAAAATAAAACGTTCCACACAAGATAACCTCACTAAACTGCCGTATCTCAACCCTCAGAGACACTACACATGGACCGTACCCCTTCGCCACGGGTTGACCGATTTGATGTCGCCAAGGTGCAACACGGTAGGTTGGCTGCACCCGTGGAGCCGCACACACGATGTCGAACGATTCATTGAACACGACGTCACCGCATTGAACCCCTTGATAGGCTGTCATGCACCACGCGGTGCCTTCCGCAAGATTCGGCATCCCACCCTCCGCCGGGGAGAGACACCCCTCTCGATGTAGCCGCTCACACAGATCCCGGACGGTGGCTGTTAACATCCACGGCGGCGCCTCAACCAATTGCTGCCGCGGCTCTTGCTGAACTGACGCCAGCTGGGGAGGATGATGTGGTACCGCGGCTGAGCCTGCCGCGTCGTCCTCTTTTTTACTTACTGTTTGATTCGCTTTTTCTGAGGGCATACCGACCACACTCTGAGTCTCATCGTGGCTCGCTTCGGCCGAAGGGCTCTCTTTTATTGAGAGACGGTAGCACACGCGCTGAGCGTAGCCACCACCTTGCAGCAACTCCAGGGGCCCGTAGAGGCCCCCAAAACTGCTGGCATTTCCTGATTCACCCATTGAAACGTCCTCAATTCCACACCACTGGATGTTAGAACGCCAATAGCCCTCCCGCTCAGATGGTGGTAGCATCCGTGGCAACATCCTACAACGCAAACTATTAGAACCTCCTTCTGGAGCGGTAGGAGAGCCATCTATTGGGAGCACAGGGAGTGTTTTGTTTCCCCTCGGTCCTGTCATGAGCATCGCGACTAGTGGTTGATACGTTTGGTCATACAAGGTTAGCCTGACATCACATTCCCTTCGATGCGACGCGTGCACTAGCTCCACTGCGCCCATGGCTGGATGCTCCCGGTTGCGTGGACGGTACGTAGTGGAGTAAAAGCAATTTAGAGTCCCAACGTCATCCCAGAAGTTCTCGTGGGGCGGATGCAGCTGCTTCACATGGCTGCTTCGCACTGGTTGTGGCGTCTCACAGTACTCCGCTAATGAGTGCAGTAAAGTATGAAAATACACGGGCGCGACGCTGCTATGCGTGAATGAAAGCTTTTGAAACGGAAGTAAAGAGGTATGTGTTAAGAAGTTGGTGCTTAGCGCAGGGCCGGCAATGGTTTGATAGGGCTGCACAGCAGCCAATAGCAACTTGGGAATCGACACGGAAACTTCTGGTTTCAGGGCCAATGACGACATCGCTAGTAATGATTGTACTATTAGCGATGTCTGCTTACATCGATCAAAAGCTTTGAAGGGTCCCCAAAAGTGGAGCTAACAAAGTTTTAACTCCTAGATAAGAAAAGCAACAAAGTGTGAATTCAATAAAGAAAGTTGCACTCAGCACCTGATACATATGTCAAATGTGAAAACCAACAGCGACACAGAGCCCATCAAAAACAGCCTCACTTACTGAATTCAGATAGCACAGAGAACACGTACAATCACTCCTGCAATACAGAATTGGCTTCGAAGCCAAAATCAGAGGAAACCCACCTTTTTCTTCCTTTTTTGTTCAGATGCACCATCGTAAATAGTAATAAAATTATGCGCGCGCCTTGATACCGTATGCGCAGGAGAAACATCCGAAGCCCCTTGCGTCGAGGAAAAATGCACGACGCTGTGACCTGAGGTTTCACCTAGATGGAGAAAGCTTTGATATGTTCATTTTTGCCCATTATTCAACTATGAGTGACGCCATCCTTTTCTATCTTGCTCAACAAGGTATACAAAAAGGGGGAAAGAAGGCTATCTTTCAAGATCAATTGGGAGAGGGAAGGTAAATAATATTTTATCCACACTTCACAAAACTAAGTACATACAGAGTTTCAGGAAAAAGCTAGTTTGGTCACACCAACTATCTCCACTATGTAGCGAAAGAAAACCGAAAAGAGACTAAACGCAGAAAAGGGGATGAGTCCCACGCAAGGATACACACGGATGGCTTGTAATCTTACATCCCAACGCCATTCATCAACGGCCTTCCCAACTGCATGCTGTACTTCTACCATATTCCTCTCGTCTTTCCGTTTTGCATGGCTTTAATATATAATACACACAAAATGCCTTCTTTACATAAAAACGAAGCAATTAATTGGCCACATATTAACTGCACACGCAAGAAGAAATGAAGAAAAAATACTAAAACCCAAGCAGGGACGAATAGATGCTCCATCCTCGACACCAACCACACTCCCACTCTTCACAGAAGAATACGCGATCATCATCAAAAGCCGCGCTTTATTCGTGTCAACCTTGGGGTATGGCATAAAGGACAATTCGCATAGCTCTCAGCCTCAATATCCAATGCCTTGTGGTGACAGCTAGCGCATTGCCAGGCCGCCTGCTTCGATGTGATGCAGCGGCCCGTGCAGATGCAGACATCAAATTTTTCTTCGCACTTCACGCACGAGTTGGCCCATTCCTTGTTAAAGGTACCACACCGTGGGCAGTGGACACTATCAATCGACGTATCAACCGGATGATGCTTGGTGAAGATTTGAATCGCTAGGTTGGCGAAACGTCGGGACGGTTCGTTGAGGGATACGGTGGGATACGTAAGGGAGGTCATGCTCGAGACACCACCGGTATTGTTCGTGATGTTTATGGCTGAAGTCGTAGTCCCGCTGAGCGCGGAAACGCTGCTCAAGGAAGTCGCCACACCGGTAGTTCCTCCCAAAGTGCTGGCCCCCGCCGAAGATTCAGCAACCGTTGCACCAGCCATGGTTTTCTGTGTTACATCTAAATCAAGTGAGAAGTTGTTTTGCACGATTCCTCCAGTGTTGCCCTCCTCGTCGTTGCGTTCTGCCATTTCTAGGCGTATGAAGGCACGGCTGCATATCCCAAAGTTTGAAGCCATATAGCTAGTCAAGGCTATAAGGCTGTAGCTATCGATCGGGGCGATCAAATCATCGTACTCCATCAATCGCATGGCCACCACAAGGGCCGTCTCCGGGTTGTTTTCCATAATTTGTTTCTGACATAGCAGAAAGAAGTGGTAGGCCTCAGCCCCGCGCCAGGCCGAATCCAGGGCCCGCTCCGACACGCCCTTCTGATCGCTTTGCAGGAGCTCATGCACGACCTCGGCGCCTTCCCTGCCCAATCCCATCTTCTTCTTGCGATACTTCTCGACTTCTAGTGCGGAGAGGACGTGGAACTTCTTGGCTCGGAGCGGGTCCGTCTGAGCTACACGCTGGCCGAGCTGCGCGAGAAGCCTCGCCGCCTGGTCGTGTTGGCTTGCCTTGCAAAAGAGCTCGATGGCTTCGGAAAAGCGCTCCTTCTTGATAAGGTGCTGGGCGTAGCTGTTTAGGAGTTTTTCCATATTCTCCAGTTGGTGCTCCTTTGCGAGCAAAATCGCCCGATCCCACATGTTCAGCTTGACGCAGCCATCAACCACCATGCGGGGCTCGCCGGCGGCCAAAAAGGCACGTGCCGCTTCCTCAGCCATCCCAACCGAAAGGAACATCTGCCCTAGCTCAATCAGCAGCTCCTTATCGTGTTCGACCGTACGAATCAGCTGCACCAGCATATTGTAGTCCTGAACTAGATAGTAGACTTTAGCTAGCTTGCGGTAGCTACGGCACTGCGTATAGTACTGTGCGGCTTTGGACCACTTTTGACGATCCGCGTACTGGTCTCCAATGTTCTCCCATGCTTTTGACATCAGGACCTCATCGCCACCGCCTTCCTGCACAAGCCGCACGACACCAAACCAGTCGCCCAGCCGGAAGCGCAGCTCCAGCGCTAGATCTTTGCGATCCATATCACGGTAGATCTTTTCCGCCTCGTCTATACGGTGGAAATAGGCGTGGATCTCAGCCTCTTGCTTTCTCTTGTCGTCCATCGAATGGATGCGTTTCACGAACTGGATGGCAGGGTAATCACGAGCTTTAATGAACGCCATCTCCGCATAGGTGAAGTTGAGCTTCATCAGCGCGTGTTCGGCAAAAATAGACCACAGCTTGGGATGTGACTGCTTATTCACGAATGCAAAAGCCTTATCAATAGACTCCTTTTCCAGCACCTCGCGCATATCTCGCAGAGTCTTGGTCTCGAAGTCAACCAAGCACTCCTTACGTGGGCGCTCCGGATCGAGCATGAGTTCGTCGAAGTGGACCGCCCGAGCTTTCAAAGAGCGGAACTTACATACATTGGCGCACGAATGAACCATCTTATCCGGCTCTAGTCCGTTGAATATATATACACGCGTTTTTTCCATTACGATGAACGAATTTGGATCGTCTGAGGCCCATAACACACCCCAGACATCCTTGCGCTCGACATTCGGGAACATAACGGCCTTGCGCGGTACCAAGGAGATATCCTTTTCAAGAGGAAAGACGCGGAGAACGCCGTCAGAGTCCACCACCGTGAGCATCGTCGAATCGCAATTCACCCCTAACAAATGGGGTCGGGATGACAACACTAGCTTACCAACAAGATTGAGGGGATCTAAGGTGTACACTTGCAAGACACCCGACTCGCGCCCGATAAGTAAGCGAGACTCATTTATGCACGCCGCACAGATGAGGTCATTGGTCATAGCGGAACGAGTCTTCATGGTAGGCATGGTTTCGGGCCGCACAATGTCGTCGATGTGGAAAACACGGATTTGGCTTTTATTGCGGCTGGCTTGCATAGAGATGGGGTCCAGGTCGTCGACGACCGCATTGGGGTCTCGGAATTGCCAAATATAAATGGCCTCCTCGCTGCAGCACACGACATTCGATGAGTTCATGCAAGACACCAGAGGTTCAATGTCCGTAAACTGAATCCCGATAGGACTTCCAATCGAGTTGAGGAGCTGCACCATGTACTGTGCTTGATTGGGGTCTGGGCAGCTCACCATGGCGCACGCGTCCTTATGGGACATCAGAAAAAGCAGTTTCCGGACATGCTTCACTGTCCTCCCGTTGTTCTTGACGTTCCAGAACATAACGGTGTCTTCAACCTTGTCGGGACGATTGAAGGAGAACACCAGGGTTTTCTTGAAGTAACAGTACTTGTAATACGGACGCACGTTGGCAAAGTAGATCGAAGAGTCCACTGCAATGGCGACCCGAAGCCCATCACCTTCCCACGTCACACCGCCGCAGTGTCGGCCATTTACTCGCAGCGTGCGCAGACGAATGCCCTCGTTGTTGAAAAACTGAGTTACGATACTTTGCGTATCTTCTCCCACGCTATCCGACACGCCACACACCACCACAACTGTTCCCTGCGGGTTCCACGCGACATGCTCAACCGTCATGTTAACCTGAATCAGGTGCGCTCGTTCATCTCTGATGCCTTCCATTAGTTGCATTTTCCCGGATGTGTAGCATATGGACAGGGTAGGCAGCGGTTCCGGCCTTTCCACCCAGGCCGGATGCCAGAGCAGCGCAGCCAGCGTCGCTGGCGACTCCTCGCACTGAATGTTAACCTGACTGATATATTGACCACCCACAGCGTCGTGCACAAAGACCTCCCCCTTACTAGTGCCAAAGAGTAGGTAGCGGTCGTCTGGGCTCCAACATACCTTGGCGAGCTGGTATTGGTAGTCATTGTTCCACAGCCTACTGCCGTCCACGTAGCCCACAACAATGGCGCCATCCTCGTAGGCGACGCAGATCTTGTTTCCATCCACGCTCCAGGACAGATCCACCACACGACTTTGATTGCGGTTGTTAACCATCTCCTCAAACCACATTCCCTTGTGCAACGTCCAAACGATAATTCGTCCACTTTCATCGCAGCTCGTCAGTTTGCGATAGAGTTGGTTCCAGCATACAATGCAGACGGTTTTACTGTGCCCCTCGAGGGTTTGGTTAATCGAGAGGCTACCATTTTTTTGAGCTTGGGTCCCGCTGTCGACCTTCATAACCTTGAGCAGACCCCCTTCGCCGCCACAGGCAAACCAGCCTTGCGTCTCATTCCAACCAACAGCAGTAACATTAGTGCCGCTGGGTATTGCAATTCGCTTGCTAAAATAGGCGAACATATGTGTTTATTTAGTTGGATGTCGTTGTTTCTTTCAACCGATAGATGTCACTTTTAAAAACCGAAAGAGGCGAGGTTTAGATGATCTATTTTGTCGTTATTCGAATCCCTTTTTTTGTTCTCCCGTTCTTCTTTTGGATTTGATGTGCGAGAAAGACACGCAAACAGAAGAGAGGTCTTATCGCTTCACCAAATGTGTTGTCTAGCAATAAGGGTAGCTTGGAAGAAAAAACTTTATTAAATAAGAAGAGTAGTGAAAAAGAGAAATACTAATGAAGTATGATCCTATGCATAGAAATTTTTTCACCTTTTCTCGCATGCATACACATTTAAAACGCAGCAAAAACGTCAAGAGATGATGGAAACACGATCCCCTGATGGAATGCTGCGCCTGCATGAGCCGGCGTTGTCGTGTAATTTATCTCAGTAAGGAAAAAGAGGTAAATATCATAATAACGATTTATATAAGAAAATAAAAAAGAAAAACTCTATGGGGTGAAGGAAAATTAGCAGATACTATCGTATCTGTTAATCGCCTTCTAGTGGGCCGCATTGGAAACGGCCTTGGTGCCTTCCGCCATGGCGTGCTTGGCGAGCTCGGCGGGGAGCACCAGACGGACGGCCGTCTGCAGCTCGCGGGCTCCCAGGGTGCGCTTCTTGTTCACCCGCACCAACGTTGCGGCCTCCGTCGCAATGCGCTCGAAGATGTCGTTCACAAACGAGTTCACGATCTTCGTGGTGCGGCCACTCAGGCTCATCTGCTTGTTAATGGCTTTGAGAGAGCGATTAACGTACACGTTCCAGCTGCGCTTCGGCTTGCGGTGGGAGGTGCTGGCGCGCTTGGTTTTAGGAGCAGACTTTGGAGTGGCCATTTGTATGCGTGGATTGGTGATTTAGTATCGAGTGAAAATAGGAGAGCTTTGGGAAGACCTGAGAGTAGAATTCTTTTCGAAGAAAAAAAAGTGAGGAGAGAAACGGATTTTCCAAGGAGCTTTGGCTTCCACAAAGAAAAATAATACAGCTCCATTAAGTACGCACATATATCCAAAGTACATGCCTTATGACACATTTTTTTTGTTACTGGTTCATTGGCCTTGAAGCAAAACGTGACGACACAGAGTTGCATGAACCTTCACTATGTTTTTTGCAACTATTTATCACATAGTGCGAGATCTTGCGCTATTCTTTTGGATTTTTGTGTAGCTCCGACGTACATGGAGAGTCCTTTTCACACTTGTGGCAGCACTTAAACCCCCAAGAAAAAATTTCCGGGTCGAAGTAGCTACCAAAGCAGTACGCATGATCTCCATACGAAGTAACGTCGTGATGAGAGAGCCGCATCAGCTTCTCATGAACCCGTATGAGATGTGATTCCTCTGTTTCAATGGCAGAGCTATGGGGTGCAAAAGGGGCACATGCGCCTCCCTTCGTCTCTTTCTTGGGTCCACACGGTGCCTCCACGGCCGCCGCAGTCCCCAAAGCAGAATCCCCTAATGACGAGAGTGATTTCGTTGCAACATTGCTGGTGTTTTGATCAACAGAGTTTCCATAAAGTGAGCGAACAAGCGTCTTCACGGCGAGTTCCCTGTCGTCCGAACTTCGACCTTCAATCTTCCCGTCTTTTATTTCTTTGTCTGAAGTTTTTTCCTTCGTTGCCGATGCACTTCCTCCCCCTTCGACCTTCTCCAAACCTTTTGCGCGACCTAATTCTTCGTCCAGTGCGAAATCCACAAAAGACTTCGACTGCCCAGTCAGGTAGCGGTACTGGGATTCCACATAGTTGTAGTAGTCTCCAGACCGATAGCGCTGTAGATCTCCCTGGAAAAGCCTCGTGGGATCGTGCGCATTCGGATTTTCCCGCATAGCCCCCATTTTGGGGTCGAAAAAGATGTCCTTTTCGTCTAAATTTTCTAAATATTTCGGAAGCGGTTGAATTTCAAGCCCGCCGTGCTGGGCGGCGAGCTTGGCGAAGGCGTTCTCGGGCCTCGCTCGCTTACTTGGGTCGCTGTCGGGGTCGTCTCCCGGTTCCCCCTCATCATTCTCTTGCAGGGCCTGGTGTAGCAAATCGATGCCCACCTTATCCACAAGGCGGTTTCGTTTTTGCGCGGACGTCGGGATGGCGCCCGTCGCCGGGGCGACCACCTTCACATCCACCCCTGTCACCACCCCACTGTACTTCGCGCCGACTTTCTTCTTGGGCAGCAAACAATGCGGCGTCTTGTGGGTGCGGGAGCCACAGTTGGCACAGGCCCCGGCCACATAATGCTTCGGCCGCCCCACCACCACCACCCGCTCCTCGTAATCATTGAGGCGGTCATAGGCGTCGGTGGTGTCGGTGCCATCCACGGCTTTCTTCCGCTGGTGGTCTAAGGTGGTGCCTTGGACGCCGTAGTACCACGGCGCGCGGGCGATGGACTGGGGGACGTTCGGGCTAATCTCCTGCTGCGTCACAGCATCTACGGCGAGCGGGGCGAGGCCGAACTTGCGCTTCTCATCGAGTTCTCGCTGTTCTCGAAGGAGTTGACGCACCGAGGTAGGCGTCTTTTTCTCCTTGTCGCTCTTCTGAGAGGACGATGGTTGCATGTTTTTGATAAAGTACCCTGTAGACGTTCCTATGTAATTATGGTTGTTTTTCCTTATCCCACTTCGTCAACAACACACCGGAAAGGGGGGTTTCAATTTTTATTTTCCGATTGAAAGGAGCGGATCGGAGGGCAAAAGTCTAATACACCAAGCAACAGATTTAGGGGAAGATTCTATCCGCAAGACAAAATACAACCCACTAACCAAAAATCTGCTCACTTCACGTATAAGTGCGTTAATAATATCAAACACCAAAAACTGCAGAGGATAGAATCCCAATTAATTCGCAAAATCACTGAAAGGAAAAAGGTCCAAACGCAGATTTTATCCATACTTGTATGCAACTTGCTGTGTAGACATGAACCCAGAAGCTTCGCAAATAAAAGGATAAACTGTTTTCCATCAGACCTTGGGAGATTCTATAGTTAGGATAAACAACGCTATATGTGAACAGAAATGGCTTGCTTCAGCCCGATTTCAGTAAAAAATTATCACATTGTCTTATCCTTGAGTGCCACGAGAGATGTAAAGCTGGTACAATGGGGGGCACATATTGGGTCCGTACACATCGAATATTTCTTCTACTTCCTCGCTACCGGTGGGGTCCGAAAAGAAATCCTGATGCAGTGCCAAACAGCGGTTAAACACCGCGGTTAGAATCTGAGGCTCACGAATATGAAACTTTGCTAAGGACCACAACAGCCGTCGCGCCTCCCCTGCATCAAGAAAACGGCATACGTAGGGACTGCGCTCTGATAGCGCGATCGCTATATCTTCCTGGAAAAAATTTGTCCGCGCAAAGGCGTGAATGGTGCTGACAAGGTCTCGTGGATCGAATTGGTCCGCGATGGAGGCAGCGTGGGAGGCGAGACGTTTAAACAGCTCCTCATCCTTGAGCCCGAAGTGTGCGAGCGCCGTAACAGTCTTGGAGACATCCTTCGCGTCATGATCCTGGACGACAGCTAAGGAACGCTCAGCCAGGTTGTCGAATAACTCTGGATTGTTAATCCCAATCCGTTGGAATGCCGCGAGTGTGGTGCTTATATACTGTGCGTTAAACTCGTCAATCAGTTCAACAGCCCGATTTGTGAGAACACCAAATAATTGGTCATATCGAATGCCAAAATGTGCGAAGGCTTGAAACATCAACGACACTTGCTCCGCGTTCATTTGGTCTACATACTCCATCGCTTTGCTAGCAAAACGCTTGCTCAGCTTTACGTCCTTCAACCCAGCCTTTGAAAAGGCCAGAATCAAGGGCACCAGCTCATTCACAGTCACGCGCTCCCGCAGTGATATGGCGCGGCGAGCGATGACGCCGTAAACGTTCTTATCTCGAAGCCGCAACCTCGAGAAAGCATTCGCCAGAATAACCAGGTGAGACGCCTCAAACTCTCCGACCCGCGCGAGAGTCTGAATGCGTGAGGAAAGCAAGCTAAAGAGCTTTTCATGATGGATATTCGTCTTTGAGAAGGCGCTGATGATGTTGGTGACGCCTTTGGCGTCGAGATACTTCGCATTTCGGGTGGCCTTGACGGCCTGCAGCTCAATCACCTCTCTCGCGTCGCGCGACTTGAGGGTCGCGCAGGCGGTCACGACGATGGGCAACACATCCAGGGTGATAAACTTGTCGTTTTTCAGACAATAATCCACACACTCGCGCACCAGCCGGGCGTCACTTTCCATCCCAAAATACACCGCCGTGTTCAGGAGAAGGGCGACGGAGCGGGCGTCGATGTGTTGCCCTGTGATCGAGGTCGCGAAGAGAACACGACGGGCCTGTTGCGCCAGCATTGGGCTCCCCCCTCGCTCCTGGTGAAGTTTCTTCATCTGCAGCGCCTCGACGGCGATGCCGCGAGCGGAGAGTTGGGAGCCTTGAGGGGTGCTGGGCAGCGCCAACTCCGCCCCAAACAGCCTCGCCGCGTCGTGGTTTAAGGGCGCCACCGTAGAGCCCCCTGCGTGGCTGACGGTCGCGTTAGACGAGGCCACCACCCCAACAGGGTTGGAGGGCGACGCCGGGGCCGTGAGCTCGCTTCCCGTCGGCGTTGTGTCGTATTGCCAGCGCCTACTAGTGTTAAGTCCACACCGCCACCCAGCCCGTGCTGTTACCACCGCTCTCATAGAATGGCCATAGAGTCCGGTAAGAGACCTCGTCAGAGCCCTCATTTCCCCTCCGTTGGTTCTAAATTCAAGTTTCTTCTGAGAAGGCAAAATCCCTCAGTCTCGAAGTCCACTAGCTCCTCTCCTTCGCTGGTAGAAAGGAAAAAGTAGTGACACCTGCCAAATTGACCTTCCCTTGCCTTTTGCTCCTATGTGCGTATTTTTTTTTAAAGGGTGAAAGTTTTTACACACACGGAAAATGGCCCCACCTTCACAGAAAAACTGAAATGAATAGAAATAGCAGCAACTTTCAAGAAAATATCATCAAGGGAACTGAAAACAATAATAATAATAATAAATATCAGCGCAATCGATTGCATAATGAAGCCTCCCCTAACCTCCATAAATATGTTTATCCTGACTGTAGCAAAACTCAGAGGCATCATCTAACTCGAAGTAGATAAACAATAACGATATGTGATAACATGATAAAAAGCATCTATCCCCTTAACTATAAGCCTAAAAATCAAACCTGTGAGGGTGAAGTATGAAAGAAGGAACTCATGATACCGATGCCACCTTTTGAGTATTTATCGCTGTTTTCTGCGCTTTTTCTACCTGCGCGGAGACAAATGCATCGCGTTCCTTTAGATTGACTCCAGCAGAACGAAACACGACACAATTAAAAGGTGTTACGTACAGCTCCCGCGGCACGCGCTGCAGAATACGATCCTCCCGGCTAAGCCGCGACATCGCATCTACCTTTTCCTCACAACGCACAAAATAACCCTCGGAAGTTGGGAAAAAATACTCTAGTTCTTTGTGTGATAGAGAGTACGGTGGACCACGGATCTTATTGCCTTTCACCCTACCGGTACGAAAAATACCCTCCACATAAATAAGCCCATCATCCTTCAGTGCCTGCTTTAGTAAATACACGTAGTTCGGGCGCTGGTCACGGTTAAGTGACGTCATGGCCTGCCGCTCATAAATGATGTCAAACTTTTTGCCCCGAAGAGGCCCCTCCCACAGCGACGACGAGAAGAAATCATCCCAGTGGACGTGGACGCGTTTGTACGCTTCGATCGGCAATACCAGCTCAGTCCGCTCCACCAACGAGCGCACCGCCGTCTCTGAGGACTCCACGCCATGTACGTCGTATCCCTGCGCGCCCATGGTGCGTATGATCAACGAATCCCCACACAAGGGCACCAACACCTCCGGAGGGGACTGGAGCTCGCCCTCCTTCGTCTTGCAATTCACCTTTTTCGCGACCGTGGGGTCAGGGTGGGAGGCGATAAAAGTTTCCGCCGTGGATAAATCACGTCCGGTTTGCGCCCGCACAAAGCGATAGATGCTTTGGTAAAAGTTAACGTCGGTCTCGCCCACGCGCCAGGAGGTCGCACCTTTTCGCCACTCGTTATCCCACCACATCGGCGACGTCCGAGGCATGGAGGAGGGGGGCATGGGAACGAATTTCTTGTGCAGTGCCTCCTGCAACTCATCCCAAAGCCACGGGCCGATGAAAAGCGCGGCGCCGATGATCACCCCCGCCGCGGCCGCCCAGCCCTGAAGACGCGACGCCGTAATTGCACGCAGGGAGATTCTCCCCGGCACATACTTGGACCGGATGCGATTGTAGAGAATTTGATCGTTCATATCCCCCATGCTATTGTATCGACGGGTACTACATCTAAACATTTTAAGAAGCGCACCTCCCCCCCCCTCTGATTATTGCTCGATGGAAGACTCTTTTGGTTCCCCCTTGGTGAAAGTCACTTCCTCTATCTTGCTGTTAGTATGATGGACACAATACATGACGAAGAACAGAGGAATCGGCGTATACAACAGCATGGAGAGTAAGAAATATACGAGAAAGAAAACTCATTCATCATGTGTTTGATACGTAGGTAGATTTTACTGCTCTTTTGACAATAATATTCATAAAATAAATAATTGCAAGCGTAATTTTAGAGCGCATTAGAATAAGCCAAGCACACCACCACAAATTTTCACAAATCAGTTGTGATTAATAATAAATGTATATTGAGAAAACATCAATGGTGGTAGATAGCAAACCCCCTTTATGCAACACAAAATTAGAACTTCGTCATTTCCCCGGAAATTATAGCAAAAAAAATATTTACGTAATCGCAATGAGGCCAAAGGCCTAAAAACAAAAAAAATACAGGAAGGATTATGTTGAGCCAGATCCAATACTTCACAAAAAGTATCGTAATCTAAAAGGAAGAAAGCAATTTCACCACCTCGCTACGGGCGACTGTCACCGTAAGACCACGATAACTAGGCCTTTCAAGTAAACTGTTGAAGAAGTCATACTTCCGTAGAATTAGCTTGGAAAATTGTTGCCACGTACGCTGGAGCAGTCTGCGATGAAATGATTCCTCATTACCACCAGAGATAACATCGTGCAAAAAATGCTTCTTCATTCTCGTTGCGCTTGACCGCACACCAGTGCGAAACTCCTTCTCGAGCTTGTCTAATACTTTTTTCACGGCATCCACGGTGAGCATTCGGTGGTGTCGCAGCTCCTCGTCAGAGTAAACGGCTGAAAGGTCTTCGGCAGAAACCGTGAACACTCCGAAATGGGGGAATTCCCTAATAAGAAGTACACGCGTCAGGTAGAGATCCCTGTAAAAGTTTCGCTTAACTTTTGAGGACTCGTAGTGTTCATGCAACAGTTCCGCAGCATAGCTACCGGATGGAAGCGCCACGTAGAAGGCACAAAAGAAGGCGTGGTGCCGGTATTGTTGAATAAAATTACGCTTTAAAGCCCTATTTTCGTCGCTGTTCAGGCGCTCAATCACGTCATGCACCTTCTTCTCGAGCAGCTCCACTAGGTTCAGCTTGGAGTCCTGGTCCGCGTTGCTTCCGCTGCTGGCCGCAGATTTAAGAGCGGTAACCGCATCCAGCGCGTCAAAAGATTGATCGACCAGGCTCGTAACGATCGAAGCGTACTGGGTACGATCGCGTACTTCATCGGAGAGGGAATTGTGTATTTCTTCCATTCGCAGAATAAGGGCCGGCATCTTCGAAAAGCAATGAAGCAGCGCGGTTGGTCGGACCGCGTAGCGCCGACGGCACACATTGATGGATTCGGTCTGTTCCGCGACAAAACGCATGATCGCGTCGGTCACGATCTTCTCAAGATCCCACAGCACGCATTGACAAAAGGTACTTTTCGCCATCAGCTTACTCGGATTGCGATAGTATGCCTTGATCACACAAAGGGCAACGATAGAGTAAATTCGATCACACTTCTCTGCGAAGAACTTGGTAAAGTTTGTTAGTTCCGCCACTAGAAAACTACTGCGAATTCTGTGGGTGATCTGTGGCGTCAAAATCGGATGTATCGTATCAACACTACGATTAGCTTGCATTGTGGCATTATCAAATTCCCTGGAGTGACCACGGTAAATAAGGGAATCGTTTAGAGAACGTGTGGCGGGTGTGGCCGGGTAGCGCGGCGGAAGGCCCAAGTCCGACCTCACCGACGACCTCCTCCCATCGGACGCAAAATACGTATATCCACGGGGTGTTGTCAGGGGCTCCATTTGAACTCGCGCCATGTCGGTGCCGAACACTTCGATAAGGGACTCTATAAATAGATCGGCATCTTCCTGCTGTTTCCCTGACTTCCGTGTCTCATCTTTAGAAACCTCATCGCCCATTGGCATATCACTTTCGAAAGCGGAGAAACTGCTTGAGGAACTGTGAATAACCGGGGTCTTAGCAGGCTCCACCTTGACGGGAGGAGCAGTTTCACCCGCGCAGGGGCTTGTCTCTGTAATTCCGAAGCAGTTGTTCAGGATAAACTCCTCGTGTAGAATGCATGCCATGGTTGATTCCAACGCAATCGCGAATGTCAGGTCGGGACGGAGAAGCTTATGCGGGCAATGAATAATGCACGACAGCCCCGTCCTCGTGTCTGAACCCCGGTGAATGGTGCAGTAAGGGTATAGAACCATGCCGTTGAGCACGGTGAGTGAGGGGAACTCAATGTAAAGCGCGTGATCCTGAGCACCACCATTGCTTGCTTCTGATGCGGCTCGAGTGCTACTATTGACATTGTCGTATATGCTTAACCCTCGGGGAGTGAGAGCAGGTGATGGCATACATGATCCTTGCCACATCGGTGGGGTTCCACCGGCCTGCCCGAGCTCTGTACTCATCATGAGACCTCCTGCCTTATTCTCGGAGGATCCTAAAAGGAAAGGGCCGGATGACGGATTCACCTTCTTGATTTGCTTGCGTAGTCCCTTGAAGTATTTATAAATTTCTACATGATACACCTTCTGCATGCCCGTGCGGTACTTCCGCAGCGTGCTTGCAAACCCCTCCATGTCAATGCGAGAAAGGGCTTGAATAATGTCATTTATTCTAAAGAGTTTTTGGCTTAGATCAATATGCAAGCGCCATACGAGACGATCGTCGCCACTGAAGCGCTGTCGATCCGATAGATAAAGCTTTTCGTAGCCGTCAATGATGGAAAATATATAGGAGCGAGATCGTTGAGCAACCATGCGCCTTTGTTCAAGAAAGTACGTTTTGCGCTCGCTGACAGCCGCGATGGGATAGTCTGAATCCAGTTGAGGATTGTGTAAAATCTGCTGCATGTGCTTCATGGCTTCGCTCAGGGCCTCAGCATTACCTTCTTCTGAAAAGAAAGCGATGAGATTGGAGTTCGGTTCGTTCTGCAAACGCCTTAGAAGGGCTTGCGCGGCAGGCTTAAGACTCAGCTGGTCACGTAGTTCAGTCATAATACCTTGCAGTTTCTTAAGATTTAGTTGTCTGCAGCGAAGCGCGTTGTTAGCATGCTCGATTTCCTCAATTACTGCTTTTTTAGAAAGCAAGTTTGAGGAAAACTGCTCAATGCAGCCCTCTAGACTCTCCACATCGTGGATAAGATTCATGACTTGATTTCGCATATCATCCCAGGAGGCTACAGAAGTCGCCAACGTGTCCAACGCCGCGAGTTCCGCTTTTTTTTGAGAACTGAACAGTTCCTCCTGGAAACCTTTAATATCGTCGAAGTCACCTTCGCGCAAAAATTTCAGTAAGTGTTGTTCTTCCTCAGTGGAGAATATCCTCCGCTTCTCCTGGTATAGCTTACGAATTCGAGACGCTGCATCAGCATCGACTTCGGCGCCGAACGCTGGCGACAACACTCCGTGAATAAGATCCACACCCTCCCGGGCATTCAGTCGACCACCATCGCGTGCTGTTCGACTTTTCATCTCATTAAATCGCTTCAGCGTAGCTAAAAACATATCCCGCTGGATTTGCGACCCAAAGCTTACGGAGAGCATCCCACTGGCCCCAAAATTGAAGGTTGCATCAAAATTGCCGTTGTGTGCGACATCGGCGAGGCGGTCCGCAGCAAAGGCCTGCTTGATTTTGGGGCGATTATTCTTTCCTATACTGACGAGATTTAACGTCCAGGCACGACTAGCCAAGCTACCGGATGTGTCAAGTGGCCGGCAAAGAATGAGCAGTTTGGGCCTCGAAGCTTTCTTCGTGCCCAATACCGTGACTAGCTCACCGGCCTCAATTTCCTCCAGACGCTCCTGGAAAAACGCCTCAACAACCACTTTATGATCATTTAATCGATTCATTCTATAATGTATATATATATATATATATATTTATATGAAGCAACTAAAGTGAAAGGAAAAAGAGTAGCAATGAAAGAACGGAATAATCCGCCCTTCCGAAGTGAAAAGGCAATATCGAAAGCAACTATACGAGCGGCATACTTTGTAAACAAAGCAGTTAAAAATAAGGAAGAAAAATAAAGCAAATGCGATATTTTAAGGGCGACAGGCGGCAATGTAGGGATGTCTTTCCCTTATCCAGTAACTCTAAATCGTATCACAGATTTTTTTTTGGATGATATAGTGATGCTGATGGGAAAGTATGTTGCACACACACAAAGCTAAGGATGACGTTATACGTATTGCAGCACGAATATGTCATCGCAAAGCATTGAATCTTGTGGGATTAAATTCTATGTGTTACAAAGCAATGGACTCTTAGTATCACAATGCGATCTATAAAGCATGCAATAAATAAAAATAATAATAACAATAAAGTTGAACTCATCAGAAAACTGAGGGTAAGGCTGGCAAAGGCATCGGTAATAGCAATTCAAATTGCTCAGATGGTTGCATTTGATACTCTTTAAATAATACGGTCGAGGAGGGATCGGTTGCAGGATAGAGGATATCCTCACAAGGATGGGCATTGATATCAGGACCACCACGGCGTCGCTCTTCAATAAGCTCAAGATCCCTTTTGCGAGTGAAGCGGTAGCGTGTGGCATCCATCAGATCATCCGTAATCTCATCACTTCCCAGAGCAGGCTTTACTGAGGACCATCCAGCCTTCATCAGATTGGCGGCGGCTGCGCCTGCTATACAGCCATCAGCTTTTATCCTTAACGCGGCCGCGTTTCCGCCGTCGATGATGGGAGGAACAGCGTCACCAAAGACACGATCTTCCAGTGAATAGGTAGGAAGTTTCACAGGGTAATGATAGGGTAAAGCCTCAGCTTCCAGTGGGTGCTCTTTCACATAGCTCTCAAGATGAAAAGTCGACTTGCGAAGAGCATCTTGCTGCTCAAGAATCATGGCGGTACTCTGTAGTCTCTTACTAGCCATCTCGCCGTCAGCTGCATTTCCAGATTCATTACTTTGACTCTCGTTTTTCAATATTTGATAAATTTGCCGAGGATCCATGCGACGACCTTTGCGCAATCCCGAAATAACGGCAGGTGGACCCAGCATCGCTTGGAAATTACTTAACTCACGTTCGGGAGAATACAGGGAAGAGGCTTGAGTCAATTCTTTGCCGCGGGTTACACGCACAACTGCATCGCTTGGAGGAATATTATCATGATCTCCATGAACGTTGCTAAGGGCATTCGGTTGTGTTGTGGGACTCTTCTCATTTGTCGACATTTCCTCCTCCAGCGGCTGAGACACGATGCGATCGACGGTGTGTTCTTCATCCGTATTCCTTTCTTCTGGAACGGGTTGAGGTGGTCGATCGGATCGCGGACTCAAAGATGAAGAAATGGAGTTAGTAGAGGTGTCCATCAAGTTCTCCTCCTCTACCAACACTACTTCTGGCTCACTTTCTACTGCAACCGATGCAGCATGATCATTGCTCTCACTGCCACTTTGAAGGTGGTCTGAAATATCACGAGATGCTGAGCAAGCGGTAGCGGTTTCAAGGTTATCTTGATGTACTTCACCCTCCTCACCAGAGACACTGCCCTCTTCCTCACTGATGTTGCTAGGTGGTAAGCTCGATTTAAACTTCATGACATCCTTAAGATCTTGAAGCTTATCGACAACTAACGTCATCGTCTCCTCTCCATACACTGTGCGCTCCAAGGGAGGCCCAATCAGACAAGGTTGCGTTTTTGCATTGACCATGGAAGTGGGCTGCACATTAGGAGTATCCACCGACAGCGCTGTCTGTGAAAGCGACTTTTGAACCACCTCATCCATCTCATCATGCTCTCCGGGCAATTCTATCTGCTTTGGTGGCGGTGATTCGGTTATTAATGCGGAAGGTATACTAGGTTGTCGCTGCTGTTCCCCCTCTTCACGTATCCCAACATCGTGTACATCGTGAGATTTGTAATCATCCTCTAAACGCACACTACTCTCTCTGCCTCCCTCACCAGCCAGAGTCTCAGCGCAATCACTGAATGTATACTGACTCTCATCCGCTAGCGTCGAATTAAGAACAGCAGGCACACCGGTAGGCTTCCGCAAGTCGTCTTGCCCCTGCCGCGATGGAATTCCGCTCCCTCTAGACATGTTCCCCTTATCGGATTCACTAATGAGGTCGGCTAAGGGCCACTTCCAAACGTCCCCTGCACTGGACACTACCAACAGCGTTTCGTCCGCATAAAGTTGAACCCTCACGACACTGTAACCCACATCAAAACGGGCGAGCACCATCATACCGTCTTCCAAATTGGAAAAGTAATACAGAAGAACCATACCAGAGGCAGTGCCAGCGACCAAATAGTTCCCAAAACACGTAGCGCACTGAATGACATTGTCTAGTGCAAAGCGCCTATGAGGTTTCCACTTCGAGTGAAATTGTTCCACTACCCCCTCCCGCACAGTCAAATTCGAGGAATTCAACTCTGTTTCCGTGAAAATCGAAAAGCATGTGCTCAAACAAATCACGGTTGTTAAGTGTTGCATCGAGGGGTTTTCGAAGAGCAGGATATCTACAACTGGATCTGGTTCACCAACCCACGTCATCAAGCATTCCCCGGTGTCTACCAAGAGAACACAAAAGTGATGATCAGCGGAACAGCAAACAAGTCGTTCGTGATGGACCTTCAAACACACAACAGTGTCCTCTAAAAGCAACTTCTTCCAGAGCAGCTTGGGGTGCGCGACGACGCCGTCCTGGAGCCGCCTCTCATGACTGAGGTCCCACACCGACACCTGTCCACCACCTTCACCCAAGGCGATGTAATCTTCATCGCAGAAAAGTGCACTGGGACGGGTATTAAATCTATCCAACACACTCACCACCCCCGTTTCGAGGTTTGCTAGGAGTAGTTCGTTGGAGAACCCGAGGGAATATAATAGTTGGGGTCCACAGTTGCCTAAATCACTTTCCCTAGAAGCGGAGTGAGTGGAAAAATAGCTAGGTACGAGCGATATGCAGCGTACTGGAGATTCTAACGGGATGTGATGCTCCAAATGAGTCAGGAAAAGACGAAACTCACCGTTGCATACGTCAATGAATTCAATAAAGCCGTTCTGAGTGGTGACAGCAATGTGATTCGGTAAATAATGTGTCGACGTAACTCGCACAACTCGTTCGCGGCAGTGCTGAAAGAGATCAAGTAGGGGTTTGTCTTCCTCCCTCCCGGCATTGAGTTGTTTAAGGAAGAAGCAGCTCATTTCAGAGTTTCCCTTTTTTCTTATCGCCAATCGTCAAAATTTCAGTTGAATATAGGCGAAAAGTAAAAGATAGACTATGCATACAAAGAGGGTATCAAAATGAAGCTAGTGGTATGATGATTTTTGAGCCTCCTTCAACGCGTTTAGAATGAAATTGTTAGGTAAATAGTACGTATAGATAAACATACACATAGCAGGAAGAGCATGGTCTAGTTTTACCTCACAATTCCAAGTTAGGTACTTACAGTGGATGCTTAGTATGTTTAGACGAATGCACACGTGCACACACATGTTTGCTTCAGAAGCATTCCTATTTTTTTAAACTTCTGCATATATCACACACGGGGGGGAGGAGAGGATCGAGGAAGTGTTTCGAATATACACCATTACAACTTATTAAAGAGTCATTTTTCCTGTTTTCTATCAAAAAACCGCACACCGCCTTCTGCACCACACAAGCCACCCCAACCCCGAAAGGGCATCTGTAAACTTGGAAAATATGGTATAAAATGAATCTCTCCATGAGCAGATCCCTTTCTCCTTCCGCGCAGATTTACACAAATGATTATTTAAAGTGGAACTAGTCCGTTTCCGATTACTTTAATAGCATAGTGCTGCAACGATAAGAAAGGATTGGCCATCCTAACGGCTCTTAGATTCTCAAAGGTGAATCAAACATGGAGCTTAGACTCTCTTCTCGAGTGTATTTGTCGATGACAATCGCGAGGAGTGGTGCGATTGTCAGTACCTTCAATTTCGGGATGCTCTTTTTCTTTTCTTCTTGTGGAATAGAGTCGGAAACCACTAGTTCAGAAAGCGCCGTGCATTCATTGATGAGCGTCGGGCACGGATGAGTGATAATGCCGTGGGTGCAACAAGCCATCACCCGCGCCGCGCCCAACGACTTAAGCAAATTACACGCTTTTATGAGTGTGTTCCCGGTATCGATTATGTCATCCACGATGACACAGTGCAAACCATCGACCTCGCCTACGGCTTGCACAACTTCTTCGCCCTTGATAGTAATCTGCCGCCGCACGATGGTTACGATGTGTTTGACATGAAGAATATCAGCCAATCGGCTCATCCGATCCACACCGCCTGCGTCAGGGGACACCAACGCGATCCGGTCCAGGTCAAACCACGGTTGTTTTCGCAAATAGCGCGCGAACTCGTGCGCCATAATCAGGTTGTCTAAAGGGACATTGCCGAAAAAACCCTGGATTTGACCGGAGTGTAAATCCAAAGTTGTTATCCGGTCGACGCCCATCTTGACAATCATGCGTGCAATCAGCGAGGCAGAAATCGGGCCCCGCAAATCTTTCTTGTAGCCTCGTCTCGCATACCCGAAGAACGGTATAATGGCCGTTATCGACTTGGCATTGCTCAAACGCATTTTACGGATTAAAATCATAAGCTCCATAATGGCCGTATTGATGTCAATCAGATTGTTGCCCGTGGTGCTTTGAATGATGTACACATCGGCACCGAGGACACTCTCATTAATCCGAACATTTACCTCTCCACTTGCGTATTGAGTCACCGACGTGTTGTGTGTATTTTTGCCCAGCAAAAGAGCCACAGCCTCAGCGAGTGGTCGATTGCCATTTCCTGATACTAAGCATATCGAACGCGCGGTGTTCCCCTTTCGCGGGGATACGGTACCAGATATGGCATGTACCTCAGACAGTTTACCGGGCTCGTAGAAGTAAGCTTCCTCAATGCGCATAAGCTGAGCCTGCACTGGGGTGGACATTGGTAGCTATGTGATGATATTGTGCTTTCTTTTTTTTTTAAGTACACAGGTCTTGCTTAGCCTATGATTATCCTAGTTTTCAGACGCGCACACACGCACGCAAACTTGGGCGAAAAAATTGAAAAGAAAGAGCTCTTGGCGCTATTCCCATTTTTTACGAAGAGAAACATCAGCCCTAGATGAAAATGCCTTGATCCGACACCTCCAACGCACTAAGCATTATTCATACAGGTAGGGATGAAAAGGGGAAACTGATATGAACGCAAAGAGTAAATATTATACATGTTATCCCTCTATAAACTCAACCTCTTCATGCACATGTAACGCTTCACACAAATGTTTCCTAAAGGGGAAAAACATTTGGAAGGCTGATAATGATTTACATATTCTCTTCCAAAGTGCCTGTTCTCAGCAGGAGTCTATGTACTTTATTTCACGTTTTAAGGGATATGTGCCTAATTTGTCTCCTTCAAAGAGTATCGAAACACGCTTGTTTCTGTTTTAACATCATCACTCGAAAGTAACGTTAGCTGGCATATATCATGGAAGAGCTTCTGGAAAGTGGGAAGATCAACACTGTAATCCAACGTTTCATCCCGTTGGCGGAAATACAGACTCTCTGGCATCTCAGGAAAGAAGAAGCCTATAATAGCTGACATTTCCTCCTGTGTGATAGTGCTCCATCCCAGAATCTCTTCTATGCAACGACGTAGTTGAACAGGCGTGATGATAGCATCACGGTTCGGGTTAGTCAACGTGAGAATGTCAGCGCGGCACTCGCGGTAAGCACGCGGCATTGTAGAGGCAAGGCGAAACATTTCAACACTATTAAAACAGCGGCCCTCCAGGCGCGCCTGTAACTCGATCAAGGAACGTTGCTGCTGAAATTCGCGTAGCCTCCTTGCTTCCTCTTCCTCGGTCGCCTGACTTGCGTTCCCAAGGAGTAATTCCTCTGGTAAACTCCGCCGTGCGTCTCGTGTATATGAAACCTTTTCTCCTAACCACTTCATTACATCCTGCGTCGTGAGGGGCTGGGATGGATCAGAAGTCGCCTGACGATTCCGCAGGAAGAAATACACTTCCTTCGCCAGGGACGCATCATCTGTAATTTGGAAGGTTTTGAGCGACTCGGTGAATTCACTAAGTGAGATGACACCGTCGCGATTGTGGTCGAAAGCCAAAAATGCCTTGCACGCATTTCCATAACGTGAATATAAGAAATCTCGAAGCGCTTCCAGCAGGTGGCTCACGTATTCGGGTGTGTGTGGTGGGGGCGCCGTGCCCATGAAGTACGCCTCCGTGTGTGCGTCCATAGCAGTAATCCTCATGAGAAGGCCGTTCACGGTGATTACGTTTCCTATACGAAGATCACTTTCATTGTAGAAAGTGTCTATGGCTATCCCTTGCGCCTCCTTCAAACGGCGCTCCTTTTCGTTTGGGTCGTTTCGAGGGCCCCGTGGTGGGACAGGCTTGCGTAGCTGTTGACGCTTAAGGAAGCATCCGCCATTAAACCCTAAATTATTGACACGAGTTTCGTGCATGACGACTTCGTTCGTGTCGGTGTAGTAGGTTAACTTAAAGCGACGGAAACGGTCCTCATGTGTTTTGGGAGCTTCCAGTAACAGGACGAATCGGAGGACGTCCGCTTTTGGCGATTTTGCCACCTCGCGAGGGGAGACTGCAGATGGAACAGCCACACGCACGGTGTCGGGGAGCGCCCCACGACTCGGTTTCCACCCTGCCTTTTTCATTAATGCCGCTTGTCGACTAAAGCGCTCGGTAACGTCTACGGCAGGTGGTAAGTGGACGCCGAGGCGCTCCGCGTAAAAGAAACGGGTATAGCTATCGCAATCGTACAAGAACACGGGACGACCCAGCACATTGATTGTGACGCCAATGTTCAAGTCTTTGTGGGTATAATATGCGTCCGGGCCGATATAGGGCATCCGCACCCCATTGATGCGATGCGCAAAGGTGAGCTCGTTAGCCTTCTCCAAGGAGCCACATTTAGGAAGAAAACAGCGAGATAAATATAGGCCCGATGTAACCTCTGGACTAGTTTGCTGCTCCGTGATGGCGATGGTGTCATCTTCAATATAATACAGAACGTCCAATTTACGCACGTTGCGAACACCAAGCCCAGTCTCCGGCTGATTCTCCTCCAGTAGTGCATGAAAGCAAAGTATTTTTGCGCTATCGCGCAAAAACCTTGTTGTGCGCTCTGCCTCCGCCGCCTGAGTCTTTCTCTGCGATGAGGTCATGTTATACAGTTTTTCCCCATTTATCGCAGCCTTCATTTGTTGCTGATGACGGTTATATGCTTCCGTGAATTCATTCTCCGGGCAATCCACTGGCTCACCCACTTCAACACCAAGCTCTGTGAGAAACTCACGAGTAAAGGTATCGCAGTCGTAAATGAAAAAATCGATTGTGTTGATTCGAACGGACTGCCCTACATTGAAATAGTTAATATTTAAGTACTCACTACCAGGAAACTGCTCCATCTGTCGGTAGTCAGCCTTAACCTTCTGCCTCTTCAAGAACGTCCCACCGTCAAGACCACTGTTAGGAATGCGAGGCTCTTGGATGAGAATACTATCATCCTCAAGAAAAAAGTCAATTACAACTTTTCTATGCCAGAAATCATTAACCCCTCCTTCGGGAGCCTGCTCCCTGAAAAAAGCATAAAAACACAGCACTTTATCGTCCAACGTCAGATATCTTTTACTAAGTTTTGTGCTAGACGATGGGTTCTTCAAAGAACCCCGGTTCTTTGTCAAAAGAGAAAGAAGTAGTTGGTGCGCGGTCTGATTAAAGTCTTCGGGCAAAGTAGTACTTTGAAAATTTCCATTGGCAGTAATCATGGCCCGTTTTCCACGGAACTCAGCCTCAAGTTGCTGAGGCTTATCATTTTTTTTTCGAAACGCCTGATCATTCCAGTTATGGCCTACGCGCGGCGGCAGTAGTTTGGGATCCCGCATCCGGAGGAACTCCTTCGGGACATTAGATGATGAGGCTTCCATGATGACTACACCCTCAGAGTGCTCCTTTTTGGTGTTGCGGATTGTTGAGACTTAGCTTAGTGATGATTTAGCAATTCGTAAAAAGTGATGGATTGGATGTAAAGATGCATTAAAAAGAGTACGAAGCTGACATTTCGTGCGTTGATTTAGTTCCACACAACTGGCATCCAACTAGTAATAAAGGAAAACAATATACTGATGATAGATATATTTAGCGACTTATACAAAGTTTTAACAGTGGGCTCCCTTTTAAAAGTGAAATAATAATAGAATTAATGTTTCATTCGAGTTAAATAATATAATATTAATTGATTCCGAATAATATAAAACGCATTTATTACCAGTAGAGAGCGAAAAAAAAAACAAGCTCGAATGGAGTGAAGAGAGATTCTCTCTCAATAATTTTCCTAAATTCCCGCTAGAATAGATAGTAATAAATTCGCGTATCCGCACGAAGTCATTGAATAGGTGTAAAAAAGATAATATAATGTCGAAAGGGAAACAGCTTCCCATAATTTTCACTTTGTGTGAATGACGTTTTCCCCTTCATCCTTTGAACTTATTGCCCGAAGCGAATAATACCAGCGGATATCAACTTGTTAATCTTTGCCGAGATGGATGGATCTCGCATGTACTCCTGGATACGCGAAGGATCGTTTTGCATCTCCTGCAGAACCAGCTGCATGTAGGTGTCCTGCATGATACCCGCAATCTCGGGATCATTCATTGCACGCCTTGCAGCCTCATCACCATCGGATGATTGGCCTGTTGCCATTTCCTGAATCTTCATCATCGTGCGCATTCGGCCCTCGCGGCACTCGGTGTTATTCGGGTCCACCTTAAGACCCTCGTCGTAGGCCTGAAGAGCGCGGTTGTACTGCTTTGTCCAGAAGTAAGCATTCCCTTTGCGCGAGTATCCCTTCACAAAGTCAGGCTTCAGTTCAATGCATTTTTCAGCATCTTTCAGGGCATCATTGAACGCTCCTAGCTTGATATATGCTGTCGCTCGATTGCTGTACGCAGTGTGCTCCGACGGATTCCGCTTAATGGCTTCTGTATACGCGGCCACAGCTTCGGGAAACTTATCCTGTTTGAAATAATCGTTACCCTCTTCCTTTTTCTGCCTCGCAATTTCGGGGTCAATGTACGCGTCGGCAATTGCCTTATCACGCTCCTTCTCACATGCATTTAGCTTGGCAAGTGTATCAGGGTTGCGCCACTCCACCAAGGCCTTCTTGTACAGACCGATGGCTTCATCATATTTCTTTTGTTTTTGGTGGCAAAACGCCTGGCGAGTTAGAAGCTTGGAGATGATGGTGTAATCGCAGCGATTCTCTCGGCCATGCTCAAGCCCCTTTTGGCACTCCTCGATACATTTGTCGTATTCACCTTTCTCAAAGTATACAGCAGTGGCATTTAAAATGAATAGTGTATTTGAAGGATCCTTCGCGGCCGCGGCAGTATACTTTTCAAGAGCTTCATCAAATTTTTTAGAAACATAAAGCTTATTACCCTCTTCCTTGAGCTGGAGCGCCTCCTTTTGATCTTCAGTTAACTCTGTTGTGTTATCTTTAGACTTTTCTTCCTTTGGAGAAGATTCTGTTGGTTGTTGGTTGGTGTGAGTTTCCTCCGCATCTTCATCTGTGTCAGGAAGCTTCATCCCACTTAAATACAAAAATGTCATGGTGAAGCGGTGGTCTTCGAGATAGAGCTTACTTTGCGAAGGATCGCGAACAACGGTGTCAATCATCTTCACATAGTCGGGCTGAAGTAGCAGCAGTGAAAGCTTCTTGTGCTCCTGGATTTTCCGGAAAGCCTCAGGTGTGAAGGCTTTAGCGAAAGGATCACGCATCTCACGATCATGGGCATTCTTTACATCTGCAAGCCCTTGAATGCATGCAGCGTTCCCCGGCTCCATCTTTAATCCTTTTTCATACGCGGCAGTTGCATCCTCATAACGCCGTAACCCATGAAGTGCTGCACCACGGCGCACATACCCCTTCACCCAGTCGGGTTTAATGGAGATGCATGCGTCTGAGTCATCCAAAGCATCCTTGTAGCGATGAAGTGCTGCATAGCAGGCAGAGCGGTTACTAAATAAAACATGATTGCCACTGTCTAGTTGGATAGCTTTGGAGAAATAATTGATCGCTTCGATGTAGTTACCAGAGGAAAATTCCTTATTGCCTTGGTTCTTTAGCTCGGTTGCATCCATATTGTTAAATAGACGATTATATAGTGAAAGCGATTTAATGTGTGTTTGGGGCTTTGATTTACTTGATAGTATACGGAAAGAGTATATAATTAAAAAGGAAAACGTATTTTAGTATGCAAAAGATGAGATTTTCCATCGTCATTCCCCCTTTGTTAGATTGGAAATGTCATTCGTGCACTTACCATAATTCTGGTAATTTTCCTGGATTCATAAAAATGGCGATAATAAGCTACTATCGATAAAATATTTTTCCTAACCTTTTTCCCTCACCTAATAATCGTATTTGATGACAACTACTAATGCTACTCTGGCAAAATCATCATTAGTGGGCAGACTTTTTTTCACCAATAAGTTCCTCATCACGCTTATGGATACTTGCTTGAATCGATAGAATTTCTTTGAGCAGTCGCTCACGGTCACCATCGCTTGACTTAGACCCTTTAGGGCTGCGTTCAGCAATCTCAGCTGCTTTCTGCAGTTGCTTTTTGGACATAATTTCACGTATCTCATTTAGGGAACGTAGACGAATCGGCATAACTCGTCGTTCCTCAAAAGGAGACCACCACTGCCAACCGGTAATATCAAGTTCCAACTCAGCGCGATCGCGCACCTCCGGACACCAGTCCATGTACCGCCAAACACCCAGTTGACCCTCTAAGTGCTTAATTGTAAGCCGCTGCATAATAGCCTCGCGTGCGAACACAGTCTTGAACCGTTCAAGAAGCTCCACAAGATCGTCTAGCCGTTTGTCTTGAGAAGGCTTCCGGTAACGCTGGAGTAACTCACTAATCTGACTTTCATCGCGTTCAGTTGTATTTAGAGCGAGGGTGTCGTACCGAACACGTTTCTCATTGATCAACTCGCGATCAATCACAGCTTTATACTCCTTGTCCCAGTCGAGTTGAAACAACAGCGAGTCTGGGAGATTTTGTGCCCCAGTTTTTTTCCGAAAGGCCATAAGTTTTTCCTTTGCCTCGACCTGGCGTTTCAACTGAGACAATTTTGCTTCATCGTCAGAAGTGTAAACAAGCCACTTAGACATCTCTTTGAAGTTGTATTTACCTTCCTCTTTATAATAGGACCAGAGCGCATGACGAAGACAACGCTCCATCAGTGAAAGTTTATCCATGGGTTGATCATCCGTTGTGTTCTTACGCATTTTCTCCGAACCGCCCAGCATTGCATCAATCTCACGCTCAATTTCTTCTACGGTAGCAGTCGTCTTTCGAGTATATGTTGGCGGGATCGGACCCTTTTGGCGGCGAATCATCTCCAAGGCAATATTTGTATTCTTTTTAATCTGTTCCTCCCTACTCATTATTGAAGCAGCACTAGGCGGGAAGTACAGAACGGGTGCAACCCCGCTTACCAAACGGGTACCCCTGAGCCTTAAGGCACAATTTGCAACACGACGCATAATAAAATGAGATTAATAGTACTATAAAAAAATTAAGGAGGAATTAAGGGAATTCAATGAACATAAAAGTATACTGATGTATTTATTGCCACACTTTTCATACTGTTGATATGATTTGTTGATTTGAGTTGTGCCTGCAACGATGTATTATTTTACATAATTTTGATTAAATATATTTTTCTCCATGAAGAATGCTGCGGTGATCTATCGGGCATTCAGCTTTGTGTTCTGTTGTCCATTTTCTGGAGCAAGGCAAATGGAAAAAATGACTACACGGAAACTGTACTAGAACTTCATCGATTTTAAATCCTTCCAAACAAATGCCGCAGGTTACGCAGTTCATGTCGCCATGCCACAACACCTTGGGTAGCTTTTCGAACTCACTTAAACTAAGTGTAGTCGATCTATTATTTTCTAATGATAAAAGGATTTCGTAATCTTCGGGATTAATTTCTCTGTGTTGAAGTGAGTTGACATCTTGGGCAGTGACCTTCGGATAAATGCTACTTGATGCTGAATTATCTTTTGAAAATGGGTGATGTGCGTGAGCTTTTCCTGCTGAGTAACATTTATTGCATAATCTGTAGCTGGGGCAGAAGCAGCATTTGTAACTATGACTTTCACAATCAGAACGACAAGCACTGCATAAAATTTGTGAGACGGAGCACTTATCCAATTTTGTATGACATCGGCCACATGTAACATACTCGTCATGCAAGGCTCTTGATCGCAACACAGCGCAGTGCCAATGGAACTGCTCATTACAAAATGGGCAACCACTTTTTTGTGAAAGACGCTGTTGGCACAAAGAACAGGAAGAGTCGTCCTTTATTTTTCGAGATGATATCAATTCCACTATTTCAGCTTCCCAGATTCCATCTTGCCATACTAAAGGGTTGTGGTTCTCCAGGTTGAAATAATTGATAAGAATAAATAAAACATGTATACAAGGCTGAGCGCCGTGACACGAGCAGACGTGTTTCCTATTGATTGAGACTACAAATGTGCCTTTTAGCATCTCGCGAACACTAAACTTAGTCGGTTCATGTGTTTTGACTAGTTTAATATGTTTTTTAGGAAGACTTGCAATCAGCTTTTTGACTCGAACAGGACAGCTCTCTATCCATGTTGAGGTCATTTCATACGGAATAAAATTTTCAATACTACTAAGAAAAAGAAAAACAATAGGAATAGATATATTTTTGTGCATATTTTAGCTTCATCTTTGTGAAAGAGATATTAAAATTACCTCATATTCAAAATATATGTATTTCTATAAATTATCAATTGAAGGCTCACTGCTTCTCAATTGCTTTCTGCAACGCTATAGTGACGCCTTGATTTACTAAACGACGCGCATAGCTGATATACAACTCGATTTGAGTATTTTCCGGAGGTTCATTTGCTGGTTTATCTACTTTTACTTCCTGAGGTCGAATTTCTTTTGGTTCGTGAGGCTTTGACTTTTTTTTGGTAACTTTTATTTTAGCGCGCGCAAATTCGCGTCCTTTTTTTTCTAATTGCTTCTTAAACCCCCCTTTCACGCCACCTCGACATCTAACTAACGCATAAATTTCTGAATCCTGAAACAAGCTGCCAAGGGGGAAAAAGGAGCCATGTTCTGGACTTCGACCTAGGAGAGAAAGACTTTGCGGGAGAACACCTACGAGGGTTGCTATTTTTTCTTGAGCTTCATTATACTGACAAGAATCTACTTTCAAAGAAACTTTACGTTCCACAGGTAGAATTGTACAGGTAATTTCCATTGCCTTAAATGCAACAACTATGAGCACTTTTTCTAAACCTTAAAAATTAAGACATGCATCATCAAAACATAAGGGAAAAATATATAAATATGCGTATATATAGGATATAATATTTAATGTATGAATTACATTTAATTTTTTTACTCTCGAAATTATCCACATTGACACTCACTTTTATTTGCATTTTTATTTTATTATTAAATTAAAGTTTAGTCTACTATATATATATATATATATAATATAATATAATAAATATAATACAAAAATATATATTTAATGTTCCACTTTTATTCACTAAAAGCACCCACTAAAGCTGTATACCAACAACCTTATATATATAAATATTTATACTAAACAAAAATTACAATTCATACAGTTTACAAAGGTAAGAAAAAAAAACATTTGTAAGCGCTCCGCCTTTATCACAATCTCATAATGTTTTTCTTAAGTCGGAAAATTTACACAAAGTCGAATAAAGCAAGTTAAAACATCGAAGTTTAGGGAAACATGAAGAATAATGCGAAGTAATTATTTTTCATATGAATGGGTAATTATTTTTACAAGGAAAATAAAGTAGCCTATGACGCTTTAAAGCCACTGTTTAAATGTTTCATCCATGCTCCATGGATTTAAAAAATAATATAGCCAGTTACTATAATATTTCTATAAAAAAATGTTCTTTATTATAACTGCCAGTAACCCTACCATGTGCTACGCATTCAATAAGCGGTCTATAGTGTAGAAGAATTCGTCTCATAATTACGGAAAAACAGAAGGACCCATATTTCTAATGATGCCACCGCCCCAAATCCTAACTCAACTAGTTCAAAAATTGAGAGTACCAGGATTCCCACACTACACTTTTCCTAAATGTAAGGCACTGTACTATAGTGCCGTGATAGTGCGTCCAGCTCTCTTAGTTTATATATATGTATTCATAAATAAATCATAAAACGTGGACACACAAACGGAGATACATTATATCATAACTGTCAAAGTTTTTGTCGAGACCCTTGGGAAGTTTAAAACAAGTGCAAGGGTAGAAAAATAAACCAACCAAAGACACAAGAGCTGATGTACCTGTTGTCCCCTTTGCCAGGACCCGCAGAAAACTCGCCATCGAGATAGTTAGGAAAGAATTCAGGCAAAAAGATGGATGAAGTCATACCGCAACGTCAAGATAAATTTAAAAATCGTGGAAAAATGAAGAATCCCCTCGATAGATAAAGAGTTTAAAATAAGGCCCCGCCCCGCCAAGACTTAGCCTGCTTAACTACAGCCTTGGTGGGTTGGGGGCCCCTTCTTTTAAGGATTTATGCCGCCCCGGCGTCCGGCCGTTGCCAAAGGCACGCCTAATGGATTGTTGGGGCGGTACTTACCATTCAAATTCTATTCTTGTTTGCGACTCTACCAATTTTCTATGCGACTGATTGTTTGCTTTTGTGTGTCGTCAATAGGGTTGAAAGTGTATATTAATAGTTGATGCAGATGGGTACAATTCATAATCCAAGAACTTGCCTATCTCTGGGCAAGTCGAAGGACCATCAAATGAAACGTCAGGATGGTGCGGGGCTACTTACTTATAGATACTTTTAGGTAGCATAGGGGTACTAGCTCGTCTATTTGGCTAGTGTCTCCGGTTTTGTAGAAATACATGCCATAAAGACATAAAACTTTTGACTGAACTTATTGCTATTGTAAATGTAGTTAATTAGAGCAAATGGCGCACGAAGAATAATATTTTTCCGTTTTTGACTTTTTTCGGCTATAACTTATCTTTTAATTGTGTCGATATTAATAATAATAAATAAAAGGCCGAACTACTGTTTCTTTTGAAGTTTTCACTATGATTCAAGCTTTTTTGTTCTTCGAAGGGATTTCTTTTGATCTTGTTAATGATTTATATAAATTATTTTTTCCACTTTGTGTATAAATTCAGTGAAGTTACTTTTTTTTGTGTGTATTCCTATTGTAGTCATAAGGCAGGTATTCTAATGATTCAAAAGCCTTTCCATGCCAAGTTATCCGGAAATGTCACAATACGTAACCATGGTAAGGCAAATCTAGAGACCAATGCTGTGATAAACAAGGGAAAATTAAACGAAAGCCTTCAGGAAGTTGGCTCGCGCATAGGAATACGAATTTCAGCTCAACAAGAAGGAAACACATATTTGGTTGACGAACAAGGCTTGATTGTCACTTCAAAGCTTAGGGACGGAGGTGTGTATTATATCACTGATGAAAATTCACAAGATGCAGGTTCATCTGAATTACATAAAGTTGAGTCTAATATCAACACACCGCCTGACATTTCTGTTGCATGGGCTTTTGACAACCGAGTTTTGCTTCATCAGCCAAACGACCATCGCTCCCCGGAAACTCCTCATCGCCTGAGGCGCGCCTTGGATATGCTAAATCAGATGGAGCACTCGAATGAAATACTTCCCCGAGAATTGTTGACATCACCTGGAAACGATAATACCGAATGTCTTTCTGCTTGCAACATTTCTAGCTTTATAGCCTCACGTCTGGCATCAAATGACGAGATCTTGGGCTTCCATGACGCCATTGTATATTCAGACTTTTTAGAAACTGGAAAGTCTCTAAGTAACTTACCACAAGATGTGTATTGTAATGACGAGACCAGTAGAACCGCTGTTAAGCTATCCGCTGCAGCAGTAATTGATACATGCACTTTGGTCCTCCAAAATGCATTAAAATGTGCTCGTGAAAATTATTGTGCTAAGAGTGATCCACTTATTGGATTTTGCCTAGTACGACCTCCGGGACATCACTGTAGAACAAATAGGCCGGCCGGTTTTTGTCTTGTCAACAATGTGGCAATTGCAGCGAAACAGGTTCTTACTAAATGCTCAGTTTTGGGTCAAACTCCTAGGATCGCAATCCTTGACTTGGATGTTCATTATGGGGAGGGTACAGCATCTTTCGTTGATGATTATAGCCCTGATAGCAACCAATCCTTCCCGTTAATGTACCTTTCCCTCCACCGTTTTGATCAAGGAGGATTTTACCCCTATGACAAACGAGGTGCAAGTGATTTTGTTGGAGTTAACCACACTGGTAGTATAGTAAATATTGCTGTAAACACCAGTGCTCACGAGGCTGAGAACTGTTATAAAGTAATATCAGATTTTTTATTTGAGAAGGCTATGAAAGACATCTTTATACCAAAATTGAATCAATTTAAACCTGATTTGATTATTGTGTCCCTAGGATTTGATGCAGCTTATGGTGACCCGTTGGGAAAAATGGCAGTCGAGGGTGGTTTTTCGTTAGCAATGAGCATGCTAAAGCACTGGTGTATGTATGATCAAATCGACTGGTTTTCCTCAATCTCATCAACCTTGAACCCTCCATCACGTAGACGCAAACCTGTCGCTCTTGTATCTGTTCTTGAGGGAGGCTACAGTCCGGAGGCGGTTTCACAAGGCATTGTGTCTGTTGCTTACGCCTTGTCATATCCTCCATGGGACAAAAGAGTGCAACAGTATTCGTATCTCCAAGTACCCAAAACATGGAAAGATTTGCGTAAAAAGCAAGAGCGACGGTTATGTGAATTTGATCAAATTACTAAAGAACGTGAAGATATGAATAAGGATGTCAGCTTGCTTGAAAAGCCTATTGAATCGCCTCTGATGGTTAGTGATGATGGTACACTGATGAAAAAACATCTAGAATGGTGTGAATCTGTAATTAACGAAACAATTCAACGCCATCAAGCTGCCCTTTTTGAACAGCAGCAAGCTTGAGGCCATTAAGTAGGAATGTGAAAAATATTATCTTCTTTCACATTGAACATTTTAGAACATAATTGATTCCTTCTTGGGAGGGGTCGGGGATGGATGCTACGCTTGGAAAGCCGCAATTTGCCCTCCACAGGTGACTTCCACCTCATCGCGGTACCATAATTTGGTATTCTGATATTCAGAGAGGAGGAAAGGAAGGATGGGCGTCGTCAATATTTTCTCTCATTCATATTTTTAGACGGTACTCACATTAAAGGTGGATCCTCTCCTGAACGCCAAGAGGCAATTTTTATGTAGTAGCCATTCTCAGTAACTTTCGCTATTCACTGCAGTTGTATGGGCTTGTACTAGTTGCGGTCAGTACCGGAAGGGGTTGACCCACGAGCAACATCCATGCCACATACAACTTCAACAAATCATACACACATACATATAAAAGTACATCATCTTCTTCCTATCCTTTTCCCGAAAATTGGAAAAATATACCACTTTTTATTGCTTCATACTAGTTTGAACTTTATGTCTTACTTTATTGTTTCATATCATCGTAAATACTAATTGACTTAATTGTTTTCCTATCAGAAAAAGTAAATAGTGCCAGTTATTTTCTCAAAACAGTTTGGTACTTGTGTTCTAAAAATGATATTAATGTATATTCATGAATTTCGGTAATTGATTCTATAAATCGAAATGAATACAGCTAACTGCGACGAAAGGTGATTTATTTTTGACATTTGAAGCTGGGAAGGAAACTTTCTACACGCGAATCGTGTGTCGAAAAATGGACTTAAACACCGAAGTCCTCTGAGTATTGGACAATCTTTATTGTACTCATTAAGACTTGCATGCTAGCTTTACAGTAATGTTAACTAAAGGTATCTATTATTGGTAGAGAGTATAAGCTCATACAAAGGGTTATGCGCTACCTGCGTCTCCTTGCCGTTTAGTCCAGCATCCTGTCTTCAAATAATCACAAGGCGTGACAACCATTGTTTCATATTCAATAAGGAACAATAGTTTCTATCTGATATAGATTAACAATTCATCCATTGATAATAGATAAACTCATTAATATATATATATATATATATATATATATATATATATATATATATATATATAGTACGTAG